TGTAAAACAGATGACTAGTTGCAAGGCCTATGCATGAAGCAGGAAACCCAAAGGTGGTGCTCTGGGACAACCCAGAGGGATGGGGTGGGGAAGGAGATGAGAGAGGGGTTCAGGATGGGGTGACACATGTACCCCTGTGGCCAATCCATGTTGATGTATGGCAAAAATCATCACAATATTGTCATAATCCTCCAATTAAAATTAATTAATAAAAAAAAAGTCTCCTAGTTAAGCTGGTCATCATCCCTTTACTTCAATACATTTGACAGTAGGAGGCACACAGTCCAAGACTTATTACATAATCATTAGATCATTTAAAACTGAACTAGACCTTCTCCTGATTGCTACCCACTTATGGGCTTCCCCGATAGCTCAGTTGGTAAAGAATCCACCTGCAATGCGGGAGACCTGGTTTGAGAAGATCCCCTGGAGAAGGGAAAGGCTACCCACTCCAGTACTCCAGCCTAGAGAATTCCATGGACTATTCCATGGGGTCACAAAGAGTCGGATACAACCAAACGACTTTCACTTTCACATAGTAGCCTTACCACTGCAGCAGTACAATAAATCTCACTATGAGAGTCCTTCACCATCTGAAAGCAGCCCTGTCTGCATGTAATTTCTCCCCAGATTAAACAATTCCAGTATTTTTAACTGCTGTTTTTAAAACCTCCCACCAGCCCAGTTGTTGGATAAAAGTTGGTCTGTCAACAGTCCATAAATTATCTTATTTAGAGTTTTTATTTTCAACACATAGCCCAGAGGTACTATCACTTTCCTCTATCTGGGTCTTAATACACAATTGACTCATACTAAGTTTATGGTCAACTAAAATCCTGTCCAGCTAGATTTTCCCAATCCAGGATGCATTCAACTTAATTATTTGAATCTAGTGCGAGTCTTGATGTCTATCCTTGCTAAATTTCACCTCATAACAATTTTGATTGCACTTTGTCAAGATCATTTTGGACGCTGATTCTTGGTTCTATCCAAATTCGACAAGCTGCTCAATAAATCTTCATCCAAATCAATGATAAAAACTTGGATATGAAAGAGCCCTAGAAAGTAATTAATACTAAGCTTGCAAGAATACTCTTTGGGGTAGGGATGTTCATCATCTGTAAATCTACTATTTACTAATCCATCTCAGGAATGAGGGTAATGGAAAACTAAGGCAAATGCTTTAACAAAATCAAGATGTTATGTAATAAGAATTGCATCAATGTAGTGTCCTCACATTCCTTTCAAAAGTGCAGTTTTTACAAGTTTAACAAGGTTGTTCTTAAGTGAACTCATGGAAAATGTTCACAAACCACAGTGGGGTTACAGTGGATAGTTCCAACATCGACTTTTCTTCTACAAAATTACACTGTAAGAGTTAACCTATTTTACTATTTCATGATTAAATATTTACAATTTAACACTTAAAACAGCAGATTTGTGGCCATCTGTGCATATTTCTACTCATCCTAATGGGCTGAAGATCAGCTTTTTCAAAAGTAAATAGTCCTCCTGAGTGAAATAAGCTATGTCTTCTCTGCTTAGGCATCCATGCTTAAGCAAGTGTGCCTTATTTGAAAACTGATCCAAAGTTACTTACAAATTATTACAATAGCTCTGACTGTTCAAATAGGACCATGGGTCATAATTCCACTGGGTCTTGAGATCTGAACAATCATAATGTAACTATATGAAACATATGCTGGGCTTCAGCCTGTTTCTTTAATATATTTATCTGGACTTATCCATTTTAAAGACCACTCTCTGTGCTCATGAAAATGGAAGCAAAACCAGAAGTGTTGCTCCAGGGTAGAGTGTAGCATTCCAGATGTGGACTCCGAAGTCCCAGTACTGGATTCTAATCCTGGCTCTACTGTTCACTAGCTATGTGACCTGCAACAGGTGATTTAACCTGTCTGTGCCTCGATCTCATTCATAAATGTGAATAATGACAAAACCTACCTCATAGAGTTACAGGAATTAAATAAGTTAACATGTGTAAATGGTTTGTAACAGTGCCTGCCACACAGTAAGCACTGAATACTTTAAATGTTTGCTATAATTATCATTCCTGATCATCTATTAATATCACCCCTTCTCACCCATCCTTTCCCTGAACTTGCTCTGAAAATAACAATACAGTACAATGGTTACTTAAGAGCTGGGTTTTGAAGTCAGAATAACCTGGACTGGAGTTCTGATCCCACCCTTTATCAGCAATATTACCTTCAGAAGTCACTTAACCTCTCTCAGCCTAAACTTCCTCTTCTATAAAATGAGGATTAAAAACAGGATCTACTTCATGGGGTTGTTGCAGGAATTAAACAAAAATGAGTGCCACACCCTTCATGCAGTACTTGGCATGGCATGTAATATACATATTAGGTTAATCTTTGTCAAAATCCCCCGTGTCCTTTAGTATTTTGGTAGGTACAATCTGGACCATACAAGTACCATATGATAGTCATATAGATTCTTCATGCTTTTGACAAATATCTTTGATTATCCACCTCTCTCCAACTTTGGTAGATGTTCTGTGTTTTATAGACATACTTCTCTCTTTCCTTTCCTTCCCCATTCTTCCCCATTTCGTTTCTCTTTGGATTGTTTGTGGTTAATGTGTCAAAATTTAAGAATTCCCTGATCTTCGATCTTATGGTTGCCAGTGGGGGGAAGGATGGGGAGAAAGGACAGTTAGGGAGTTGGGATAGGCATGTACACGCTGCTTTATTTAAAATGAATAACCAACAAGCATCTATTGTATAGCACATGGAACTCTGCTCAATGTTATCTGGCAGCCTGGATGAGAGGAGAGTTTGGGGGAGAATGGATACATGTATATGTATGGCTGAGTACCTTTGCCATTCACCTGAAACTGTCACAACATTGTTAACTGGCTATACCCCAATACAACATAAAAAGTTAAAAAAAAAAAATTCCTGTTCTTTGTGAATCTCTTAGTATTTAGGGGTATGTTTGTATTTTGGCCTATAACCATGAGACTGTGCCCATATTTTTTTTCCTGAAATATCTGCTTTCTAAAATACAGGATTCACAATGTTATTTTTCATCATGAGATGCTATTATAACCTTTAAAATAAAGAGATAATTTTTCTATCAATAGTTTATCCCTTCTACTTCCCCAATCACTGGTAAAAAGTAAATTCAGAATAATGGTTCCCACCACTGTTTTCTTTACCGCCTATGAGGCTAAGTGATTAATAAATCAAAATTTTATTAGATACTCTTTTAGCAGGATTAAACTTTTGACAAATATCTAGATGGTTAAAGAACACACTACTACCATGATTTGTTTCTCAGTAAATTTTAAAATCTGTTTTAGAAACCATCATCTACATTCCCTGTCATGCTGAGATTCCTTAATATTTCTCTGGCAGAATATCACTTTTGTTTCCTTTTTTCTTTTATAGCTCTCTACCAGGTTCTTCCCCAACAAAGTAGTTTCCACCTTATATGTATATTCACACGCATGCCATGTGCGTGTGCGCACACACACACATCCTCGTCATTAAACCCTCTAAGCATTCCCTATTGGATGTTTCTTTTCACCAAAGTACACCTTCCAACAACCAGAGTTCTTACATGAGTACCATCCTATCACTTCTTGATAACAGACATTCTCTTGTTAAAATACTAAGTTTTCTTTTCTCTGTATACTGCAGTGATATACAAAATCATTTATATACCAGGTACTATTCCTAAATAGTTCTGTCCCCAAATGCTTTCTTTCTGCCATATGTTTTCCTCCTAGGTTATCTATTTCTATAACCTTATATAAGCTCCTTTCTCTTCTTCACTACAAATTTAATGAGCTTCTAGCCACAAGGTAAAAAAATGTTACTTTGCTAGAAGCCCACTACTATGGCATTCAATAGTACAGTTCAGGAAAACAAATCCTGCTCTGATACCCCCCAACTGTTTACTGCCATATCTACTCCTGTCTTGCAAAGTTAAGAGCATCAAGTGGCAATATAAAAAGATATGAGCTGTGTCTGCTCCTCCAACTCCAAAATGCTAGATTTCTTCTAAATATGTCCACTAATATGCATAAGAAAAGTTATTTTGACTAGACTATTAACTTCACACATCTTTTACATACTATCGTCCAGTGAATACAACGTATCAGTCCAGCGGTTGCACACTTTGACCCATGGGCCAAGTCCTGTCCACAGCCTGTTTTTGAATGGCTCCCAGCTACAAATGGTCTTTACATTTTTAAAGGGTTATTTAAAAACAGGTAAAAAAAAAATCACATGGATGAACCTGTGACAGGGACCATATGTACTCCACAAAGCTTAAATTTTACCATCTGGCCCTTTTTAGAAAATGTTTGCTGACCGCTGTACCAGACCCTCAAATATTTGTTAAAAGAGGAGGAGGCAGGGAGAGGGGAGCAAGACCTCAGAGTGAAGAAGAAGAAACAGATTCCTAACAAATATGCTTTGAGATTATTACAAATGGTACATACTCTCATAATAAACACTGTGCAGATCTTTAAATCATTCCTTGACTTTCATTTTCACTGAGTTTCAAGAGAAACTAAAGGTTTTTTTATTAGTATATTTAAGAGATCATAATTTTTTTTCTAATTTACCTATTCTTGAATCATAGGTGCTCCTAAGAGAACTAAATTTAAACCTTGGTAGTCCACTTGTCCAACAAGTCAACAAAAGTGTTAGTCATCAGCAAGGTTAAAGGTGTCAGTTCACAGGTATGTACCCTCATACACACATCTGTTCCTTCCATGAAGCACCTAAGAACTGACATCCCACGACATTTTACTCATCTGTTTCCATGTGTCTGTACACCTGTTACTTCAAAATTTAATAACTGAGACTGTTCCACAAACCCTGTAATATAGCTCTGAATACTGAAAAATGTTTAATCAAAACATGAAAGTTCCATTCTCAAATAATATCAAAGACCAGTACTAGACCTGTTCATAGTGATGTTCATTAGAAGCACTTGCAAATGTGTACCTGAAAATGTTGCTCCATCACTTGGATTTTACCCTGGTCTGGGCACTTTTTCAGAGCTCGGTCTGCATAATGCAATAGGATTTCTACCATCTGTAAGGAAAACAGTAATTAAAATATGTCTCTAAAGCTTTTTTTTTTTTAAGCTTTTTAATACTTAATATATGTGATCTTAATATATATGATCTTAAATAATATAGAATGAGGCTTGGATATTTTATGAAAAAATACAATTTAAAATTTTAGTGGCCTTATTTCCCCATTTTTTAACCCCAGCCCAATTTCTTTCAGGCTCAGGGTTAGCACCAATTTGCTAATCTTTCCTAATAAATACCTCCAGGTTCCAGATGCCATTAGTGTGAAATAAAAATGAAATAAAATGTTGACGATTACCTCTTCAGTTATCCTCTGCATAGATCTTTCCCTAAAGAACACATACAGGCAATTCTTTCTACCACAGACTAACAGAATCATTTACAAGTCTTAGGAATGACCAGTTTCTGTATGTTTTCTAAATGTTTATACTAATTTGGAATCTAATTTTCACCAATGCATTTGCACAATAAAAAGGGGGAGGAAGGACAGCAATAAATGAATTCAGGCAAGCCTAGGATAGGAAAACAAAGCAAGTATTAAATATTAACATTAGCCATGTTAATGCTAATCAACAGTTTAAAGTTCAACATTCAGAAAACAAAGATCATAGCATCCGGGCCCATCACTTCATGGCAAATAGACATGGAAACATTGCAAACAGTGGCAGACTTCATTTTCTCCAAATCACTCCAAAATCACTGCGGATGGTAACTGCAGCCATGAAATTAAAAGACATTTACTTTTTGGAAGAAAAGTTATGACCAACCTGGACAGCATATTAAAAAGCAGAGACATTACTTTGCCAACAAAGGTCTGTCTAGTCAAGGCTATGGTTTTTCCAGTGGTCATGTACGGATGTGAGAGTTGGACTATAAAGAAAGCTGAGTGCAGAAGAATTGATGCTTTTGAACTGTGGTATTAGAGTAGACTCTTCAGAATCCCTTGGACTGCAAGGAGATCCAACCAGTCCATCCTCAGGGAGATCAGTCCTGGGTGTTCATTGGAAGGACTGATGCTGAAGCTGAAACTCCAATACTTTGGTTACCTCATGCGAAGAGTTGACTCATCTGAAAAGACCCTGATGCTGGGGAAGATTGAGAGCAGGAGGAGAAGGGGATGACAGAGGATGAGATGGCTGGATGGCATCACTGACTCGATGGACATGAGTTTGGGTAAATTCCAGGAGTTGGTGATGGACAGAGAGTGCTGTGGATCATGGGGTCACAAAAAGACAGACACGACTGAGCGACTGACCTGAACAATAATAATAATAATAATAAACAGCCCTCTTTGGTACCTCAGGCAATACAAACACTTGCACATATAGTGTTTCTCATAATTACTTATCAGTTTATAACAAATGTCAGCATCCTATGGGCTACAATTAATTTCAGAAACAATCCAGATCCCTGGGTTTTCTTCCTCCTCCTGTCTGCTGTCTTCTGGCTATTTCACTGTTTATAAAGGAACCAGAGATCAAATTGCCAACATCTGCTGGATCATCAAAAAAGCTAGAGAGTTCCAGAAAAACATACATTTCTGCTCTACTGACTATGCCAAAGCCTTTGACTGTGTGGAACACAATAAACTGTGGAAAACTCTTCAAGAGATGGGCATACCAGACCACCTGACCTGCCTCTTGAGAAACCTGTATGCAGGTCAGGAAGCAACAGTTAGAACTGGACATGGAACAACAGACTGGTTCCAAACAGGAAAAGGAGTACGTCAAGGCTCTATATTGTCACCCTACTTATTTAACTTATATGCAGAGTACATCATGAGAGACACTGGGCTGGAAGAAGCACAAGCTGGAATCAAGATTGCTGGAAGAAACACCAATAACTTCAGATAAGCAAATGACACCACCCTTATGGCAGAAAGTGAAGAAGAACTAAAGAGACTCTTGATGAAAGTGAAAGAGGTGAATGAAAAGGTTGCCTAAAAGCTCAACATTCAGAAAACTAAGATCATGGCATACAGCCCCATCACTTCATGGCAAACAGACATGGAAACAGTGGCTGACTTTTATTTTTCTGGGCTCCAAAATCACTGCAGATGGTGATTGCAGCCATGAAATTAAAAGACGCTTACTCCTTGGAAGGAAAGTTATGACCAACCTAGACAGCATATTAAAAAGCAGAGACAATACTTTGCCAACAAAGTCTGTCTAGTCAAGGCTATGGTTTTTCCAGTGCTCATATATGGATGTAAGAGTTGGACTATAAAGAAAGCTGAGCGTGGAAGAATTGATGCTTTTGAACTGTGGTGTTGGAGAAGACTCTTGAGAGTCCCTTGGAATGCAAGGAGATCCAACCAGTCCATCCTGAAGATCATCAGTCCCAGGTGTTCATTGGAAGGACTGATGTTGAAACTGAAACTCCAATACTTTGGCCACCTGATGAGAAGAGCTGACTCATTTGAAAAGACCTTGATGCTGGGAAAGATTGAGGGCAGGAGGAGAAGGAGATGACAGAGGATGAGATGGCTGGATGGCATCACCGACTCAGTGGACATGGGTTTGGGTAAACTCCGGGAGTTGGACACGCAAAGAGTTGGACACGACTGAGCAACTGAACTGAACTGAATCTTCATTAAAGAGTGAGCATTGGGAAAAAAGAAAAGGCGATAAGAAGGAATTTACAAAAGCGTTCACAGTAACACCAAGGAATTATCATCTGATTTGCTTTTTTATACAGTCTCTTCTTGACTGTAGTCATTTACCTAATCACGCCCAAAATGTACCCCAGTAAAGACCCTATTCAAATACTCACCCGATCTGCAACAATAGCCTTTCGCTTATTGGCATCCCCTGATAATCCTGCAGAGAAGCAAAACCCAGCATAAATCCAAAGTTAATCCACATCTTCAGGAGTGAAACTGCTCTGATCTTCTATTGATAACCTATGCTAACAATAGATATAACAAATCTAGGTAGCAAAATGTTGGGTAATATACCATAACAAGAACACCTCCCATCGACTGGACCAGACAGCATGTCAGTGTACTTTCCTTTTGTTCTAACAGTTAAGTTCTCCTTATGAAATGAATTTTAAAGGTGACATTTAAAATTCTATATCCTGTATTTGTCATTAACCTTTTTTCCTGAAAATCTGCAAGGTCTGATAACATCTTGCTTAAAAAACACTTGAACACTAAGTCAAAAGTTTTCTGTGAATGATTAATATTCATTTTCTCTGCTCCAGAAAAGCAGTACCGACTACACCAGTGTCCTGTTGACTTACCTACTACTGCTTTTGCTTTTCCTTCGTGGAAAGACCATGCCAGAGCCAAAGCTTCTGTAAGACAGTCTTGTTTCAAGAGGTGATCCACTCTCTAAAATGAATAAATGAGAGAAACCACACCCCTTTGTCTGACCAATTACCAGTAAAAATTCCTATTCTACCTAGTGTCTTCCTAGAAGTTGTTGCTTAGTAGCTAAGATTATTCCAATAACCATGTGACTATCTTATTTCCAAGGAAAACAATTTCATAAAGCACTGGATAATACAGTGACTGTTTAAGTTGGTATAAGGAGCTACAGCCTAAACCTGAAAAGAGAAAACAGCTAGAATGCTGCTGGAGCAGAAACAGCCAGTTGCCACAATATCCATTCACTCCCTCCTCCTTCATAACAAATTCCAAGTTTGTTTGAGATAGAAATAAACCTTTAGACAGCTAAAGGACGTTTCTAAGACTTTCCTGTGGCCACTTGGGGCCATGTGACTAACTTCTGGCCAAAGATAAGAGGAAGTGTTATCTGGAGATTTCCGGGTTGTGACCTTAAAAGGTCAGGGCCAGCCTTCTTTTCTGTTTCCTCCTTCCTGGAATGTGGACTTAACAGCTGGAGCTCCAGCAGTTATACTGGAACATAAAACGACCTTGAGACTAGAATCCATACACAAGAATGGTGAAATAGGGTAGTATGACAAAGACCATGGAGCTGCCATATTAGCCACAGACTGTGTACCTCCAGACTGCTGTTACATGAGAGAAAGATCTTTTATACCACTGGTATTTTGAATTTTCTATATACACAGCCAAACCTTATCGTGAGTTAGTCAGTTTTATCAAATCAAGTATATGAGAGTTAGCATGGTTTTGATGTACTTCTGAAATTAAAAAGCACAAATTCAAATAATCTTTTTCTGCAAAGTTAAAAAATGCTAAGATGTGCTCAATTCAATAGTGCTTACATATAAGATTACTCTGAACTCACCTCTCTCCAGCTCCTCAGCATCATCACATAAACAGACTGGAAAATGAGAAAGAAATTAAGACTTATCATCTCCAAGAGACTTATTTGAGAGACACATTTGTCTTAGTTCTACATGTCATTTTACCCCTCTTTAAGAAAAAAATTTCATATTACACTCAAAAGTAAAGGGTCTTTAAGTGCCCACATTAAAGAGTAAAACAGGGCCTTCCCTGGCAGTCCAGTGGTTAACACTCCATGCTTCCACTGCAGTCAGGTTTGCTCCCTGGCTGGGGAGCTAAGATCCCACATGCCATGTGGCACGGGACCAAAAAAAAGAGTACATCAAACTTTTAAAAGTGAGTAAGTCTATAGTCCAAGGAGTTCATTCCATGGACAAAGAAGAAGGAAAATCCAATCTCCCAACATGCTAAGTTTCTCCATGCTAAGTTTAAAACAACAAGGAACAAAGTGATACACAAAAAGCTTTAAAAAACAAAAAGAAATTGATAAACAAAAAGTTCAAAAAAGGGGGGACAAATTGATATACAAAAAGTTCCTATTCTAAATATCTCAATGCATTTTATTAATAATATATCCTAAGCTATCTAGGGCTTCCCAGGTGGTACAGTGGTAAAGAATCCGCCTGCCAAATGCAGGAGACACGGATTCAGTTCCTGGGGTGAGAAGATCCCCTAGAGGAGGGAATGGCAATCCACTCCAGTATTCTTGCCTGGGAAATCCCATGGACATAGGAGCCTGGCAGGCTACAGTCTATGGGGTCACCAAGAGTTGGACACAAGTAAGCGAGTGAGCACAAGCTGATCTAAGCTAAAGCACATCTTAATTACATGACAAATATATATGATAAAGTTATCTTCCTGGTCATGAAAACATAAATGTGAAGGAAGATTGAGAAAGTATACCTCTGAATAAACAAAATAAGCATCCTATTAACCAGAACCTAAACAAAAGTAAAAATATAGTATGTCTAAAAGTAGAGGAAATTAATTAGTTGTACAGTACAAAGAATTATATTCAATATCTTCTAATAACCTATAATAAAATTAAGGGGCAATCTTTTAAAAAATTAATTAAACATCATGATCATCTAACCCTTCCAAGTTTTCAATTACTGCTGATCAGTATTCACTTTGTAATGTACTGCCTGCCCTCTTTACCAGCAACCTCCTTCAGCCCCAACAAACACCAAGTCACAAAGTGGAAGAACTTACTTTTGTTCCCAAATAAAAGATCTGACCACCATAGCTACTTATGGATTGATAGCAAGCCTTCTCTCCAACCAAAGCCTAAAAAAAAAAAATTTAAAAGTAAAAACTACATGCATTAGAAGTCTCAAATTTTCAGGAATGTGTATTACAGAGACAATATAGTTTCATCCTGTAAGTGAGTGGGGGAAAAAATGTCAGGCGAGTGCCACTCTGTCTGTGGAGGTGGCAGAAAAGACAAAGTGCAAAAAGTAGTTCTCTGCTTGTATATGGTCTTTTTATCTTTCAGAGTAATGCAAAAAAAGGGAGGAACATGTCAACTTCTAAATCTGAAGAGAAACTGTTGCAACCTGCCCACTACTGAATGACAGGGAGTCTCTGCTTCCGGCAAAGAATACAGCTAATTGAAATGATACCTTCAAGTTCTTCGAAATAAATATCAACAAAAAACACAAAAGCAAACAGGAAGATAAAGCAGCACAGTATATGAAAGTCAGCACAGCCCAGCAAATAGAAACAAGACTTACTGCCTGATAAATCTGGGTTGCAAATTTTGGCTCTGTTACCTACTGGGTGACAGAGTTTAAACAAGTTTCAAAGTTCTGACACTATGTTTTTCCATCTTTGAAAACCATGCAGCTTCTGAGAGGCTTACACACAGTAGTATTTATAAATCTTCCAAAATATATGTGGTCAAGAACTTATAACTAGTAATTTTTCTTATTATGAAACTGTAAAAATATATACAGAGGTAGAGAAAATAAAACAACGAACCCAATGTATCCAGTAACTAGCTTCATTAATTACAAGCTCAATCTTGTTTCATCTATAATTCCCACTGACTCCTCTATAACACAGTAATAACTCTGAAATGAATCTCAGATTTTGAACACCTCATTTACAAAAATTCAGTATATGCACAATAAATCCTTTTTAACATAACCACACAACTTCCTTGACAGACTTTTAAAAATCAACACTCATTCCTCAATATCAAATATCTGATCAGTGTCTGGATTTCAAATTGCCTCATAAATGTCAAACATTACTGAGATTTTTATTGTTTCTACATTTCATTTGTTTAGGTCAAGGCTCAAATAAGGGCCTCACACTGAAGTAGGCTGATACATCTCTCAAGAGTCAGTGCGCTCTCTCTCTCACAGTCCTTTACTTTCCATGAAGTTTATTTGTTGAAGACACTGGGACACTTATTTATTGGAGTTTCCTACTATCTGAATTTTGCTAATGGCATCCCAGTGGACTCCTTTAACATGTTCCTCTGCTTCTATATTTCCTCTAGAAGATCAGAATCAGGGTTTTGCACTTTTTTTTCCGTCTGGGGTTTCTGGCAGTACCACTTTAAATTTAAGTACAATGTCACTGGTAGGATTTTTGTAGATGTTCTTTTTAATCAAGCCGAAGAAGCTCCCTTCTATTCCTAGTTTGCTAAGAATTTTATCAGAAACAGATACTGAATTTTGTGAAATGCTTTTTCTACGTCTTTTGAGATGGTATTATGACCTTTCTACAATAAACATACTGAATTACATTGACTTTTGAATATTAAACCAGCCGGGTGTGACTTGGATAAATACCATTTGATAATGATTCCACTTTTCATACATTGCTGATTTCTATTTACTACTATTTTACAGATTTTTGCTTCTATGCTCATGAAGTCATTGATCTGTATTATACTTTACTGCAATGTCTTCAGTTTTGTTATCAGAAGTAAGCTGATATCATAAAAAGATTTATGTGCTCCCTTTTTCTCTATTTTTAAAAAGATCTTTATGTAAAACTGATATTTTTTCCTTAATTATAATAGACTTTACTAGTGAAGCTATCTAAGCCTGGATTTTCTTTGTAGGAAATCAAACTAACATACAACCCCTTAGATTTTCACTTCTTCTTGGTCAGCTTTAGTTATCTGTACCTTTCAAAGGATTTTTGCACTTCACCTAAAATTGTTTAATTTTAGGCATAAAGTTATTTATATTATCTTTTTAATATTTTCAGACTACACAGTGATTGTATCTCTCTCATTCCTGATATTAGTAACTGCACCTTTTTTCTGAATTACTCTGTTTTATCAATTTATCTTTTAAAAAAACAAGCTTTATTTTCTTTGATTTCTCTACTGTTTGTCCATTTCCTACTTAACTGATTTGTGTTCACTGTTGTTATTTCTTCCTTTAATATACTTCAAGTTTATTTGCTCTTCTCTGTTTCTTTAAGATCGAAACTTAGGTTACAAATTTGAGATTTTTTTTAAGGTATTTAAAGCTATAGTGAAAGCAAAAGTCGCTCAGTTGTGTCCAATTCTTGGTGACCCCATGGACTATACAGTCCATGGAATTCTCCAGGTCAGAATACTGGAGTGGGTAAATATTCCCTTCGCCAGGGGATCTTCCCAACCCAGGGATCAAACCCAGGTCTCCCTATTGCAGGCAGATTCTTTACCAGCTGAGCCACCAGGGAAGGCCAAGAATACTGGAAGGGGTAGCCTATTCCTTCTCTAGGGGGTCTTCCTGACCCAGAAATCAAACTGGGGTCTCCTACATTGCAGGTGGATTCTTTACCAGCTGAGCGACCAAGGAAGCACATTTAAAGCTATAAATTACCCTCAAATTGACTTGTAGACCCCAGATTTTTTTTGAAGTTAATTTACAATGTGTTAGTTCAAGTGTACAGCAAAGTGATTGTTATTTTACATATATACATTCTTTTTCAGATTCTTTTCCCTTATAGATTATTATAAAATATTGAATATAGTTCCCTGTGCTATACAGCAGGCCCCTGTTGGTTATCTACTTTAGATACAGTAGTGTGCATATATTAATCCCAAATTCCTAATTATCCCTCCCCGCTCTCCCCTTTGATAACCGTAAGTTTGTTTTTATATGTCTATGAGCCTGTTTCTGTTTTTGTAAACAAGTTTATTTGCATTTTTTAAAATTCCACATATGAGTGATATCATATGATATTTGTCTTTCTCTGGTTTACTTCAGTATGATAATCTCTAGGTACATCTGTATTACTGTATCTGGCATTCTTATAGCTGAGTAATATTCCACTGTGTGTCTGTGTGTGTATTTATATATATACCACATCTTCTTTATCCATTCATCTATCGACGAACATTTAGGTTGCTTCCATGTACACACAACGTGTCATGGCTGTTGTAAATAGTACTATGAGCATTAGACTGCACATGTCTTTTTGAATGACAGTTTTTTCTGGATATATGTCCAGCAGTGGGATTGATGGATCATATGGTAACTCTATTTTTACTATTTTAAGGAATCTCCTTACTGTTCTCCATAGTGGCTGGACCAATGTACATTTCCACCAACAGTGCAGGAGGGTTCCTTCTTCTCTAACTCTCTCCAGCATTGATTATTTGTAGATGCTTTGATGCTAGCCATTCTGACTGACGTGAGGTGATACCTCGTGTTGTTTCGATTTGCATTTCTCTAATCATGAGCAATGCTGATCATCTTTCATGTACCTATGAGCCATCTGTATGTCTTCTTTGGAGAAATGTCTTTTTAGATGTTCTGCCCACTTTTTAACTGGGTTGTTTGTGTAAAGATGCTGAGCTGTATGAGCTGTCTGAGACCACAGATTTTTATATGCTGCATTTTCACTTTCATTTAGTTCAAAATATATTCTAACTTCCTTTGAGATTTCTTCTTTGACTTATGGGTTATTTATAAAGGTGTTCTTAATTTCCAAATATTTGAGTTTTCTCCAGATTTACCCAAATGATTCTTTCAATGATTTACTGTTGTTTGCTTTATGGCCTAGCATATAATTTATTGGATGCCCCATCTGCACTTGAGAAAGTTTGTAATTTGCTTTTGCTGGGTGGAATTCTCTATAAATATCAGTTATGTCAAGTTGGCCAATAATTCTTTTTAAGTCTTCTGTATACCCTTGATGGTTTTCTGTCTACTTATTCTATTAATTACTAATAAAGGAGTTTTGAATTTTCCAAACTCTAATTGTGAACTTCTCTGTTTCTCCTTTTAGATTTGTTATTGTCTCATATATTTTGAAGGTCTGTTATTGGGTGCTTAAGCCTTTAAGATTATTATGTCTTCTTGACAAATTAATCTTTTCATCAATTTGAAATTTCTCTTTATCTCTGGCAATATTCCCTACTCAGAAATCTACTTAACCTGATATTAAAATAGCCATTCTAATTATTAGTATTTGCACAATATGTCTTTTTCCTTCCTCTTACTTTTAAGTTATCATGACTCTGTATTTAATGAGAGCTTTTTGGAGACAGCATAGAGTTGGTTCTTGCTTTTTATAAATCCAGTATGACAATCCCTGCCTTTCAACTGAAATGTTTAGACAACTTCCATTTCCTAAAATTATTGATAAGTTGGATTTAGATTATCTTATTGTTTTCCACCTGTACTACCTCTTCTTGTATGCTTCATTGAATTTAATATTTTTTAACATCCACTTTTTTGCTACTATTGACTTATAAAGGGATACTTTTTCAGTGACTACCCTAGCTTTTATAATATGCAGCTTTAACTAATCTCAGTCTACATTTACATAATATACTATTTGATGTATAATGTTAAGAACTTCACAGTAACATACTTCCTTCTCCCTACTCCCTGCCATGTACTATTTCTGTCATCCTATTACTTCTACATATCATTAAGTGTGTACCACAAAATATCATTACTTTTGTTTTAAACAGTCAACTTCTTTTGTTAAATGACAATATTAAGGTATAATTTACACATCATAAAATTCACTCATTAAGTATATGATATGGTAAATGTACAGTTGTTCAACCATCACCAAAATCCAATTTCAGAATATTTCCATCACTCCACAAAGATAACTTCTACCCACTTCCAGTCAATTCTCATTCCTACTCTTAGTCCCAGTTCTATTAATCTACATCTGTCTCTATAAATTTACCCTTTCTGGACATTTCATATAAATAGAATCAAACACTACGTGGTCTTTCCATATGGCTTCTTTCACTTAACATAGTATTTCTGAGGTTCATCCATGTTGTAGCATGTGCAAATAGTCCACTTTTTAAATTGAGGAATAGCATTCTGCTACATGGACATGCCACATTTTGCTTATCCATTTATCAGCTGGTGGACATTTTGACTGTTTTGACTTTTGTGCTATTAAGAATAATACTGCTATGAACATCTGTGTACAAGTGTTTTTGTGGAGATATGGCTTCATTCCTCTTGAGTAACTAGCTAGGACTAGAACTGCTCTACTACATGGAATCTTCAATACTTTGCGGAACTGCCAAACTGTTTTCTACAATGGCTGCACCATGTCCAACAAGCAAAATATGAATGTTCCAACTTTTCTGCACTGTAGTCAACAGTTGTTATTGTCTCTTTTTGATTACAGCTATTCCGGGAGGCGTGAAGTGGTATCTCATTGTGATTTTGATTTGTATTTCCGTAATGATTAATGGTGTTGAATATCCTGTCATCTGCTTTTTGGCCATTTGGTATATCTTCTCTGGAGACTACTGCAGATTATGTCAGATGAGAAATCTGCTCTTACACTTACTGCTGATCCTCTGCATTGAATGTGTCTTTTTCCTCTGCATGCTCTAATATTTCCTCTTTCCAATTCATTTGAATCAATCTGTTCATTTTACTTGTGTTTGGGTTCACTGAGCTTCTTGAACTTCTCTGTTTATTGTTTTGGAAAGTTTTTGACCATTATTTCTTCTAATTTTTCCTCTCTCCTTCAGAGATTTCTACTACACATTAGGCTACTTCACGCTACCTCACTGATCACTAACACTTTAATTTTTTTCTGTTTCATTTTGGATAGATCCTATTGTTCTATTTTCAAGTTCACTAATATCTTGAAAATTACTGTTTTTGTTTTTTGGTTTTTTCCCTTGATTTTTTTTTCCCAGACAGGAGAGCAAATCCAGTCCCCACTATTCCATCATGGCTGAAAGTACAAATTCAAAATCTATCAGTGTTTTTAATAATCACTCAGACTGCCACCACCACCACCGCTGCCACAGTTGCTAAGAGTCAGGGAAAGCTGATCTGGGGGCTTCCCAGGTGGCTAAGATGGAAAAAAATCTGCTTTCAATGTGGGACACCCAGGTTTGATCCTGGGTCAGGAAGATCCCCTGCAGAAGGAAATGGCTACCCACTCCAGTATTCTTGCCTGGGAAATTCCACAGACAGAGGAGCCTGGAGGGCTGCAGTCCATGGGGTCACAGAGAGTCAGACATGACCAAGTGACGACACTTACACTTCCAGACAAAAGAGAATGTCTAAGTGTGGGACCATAATTATTCTTAACCTAGTGAATTCTATTGAATTACCATTTCTTCTTCTGGATTTTCCTAGTTTCTAAATTCTGAAAATACTGCAAGACTCTCACATATATTTATGCTCTGAAGTTCTAATATCTCAGGGAGATTTGAGCAATGGCTAGATATTATGCTGTAGACACTCATAAATATGACCTTCATTACTATTTTTTTTTTCCAAGAAATTATGCAGAGAAGTTCCACAAGAGTCTAAATTTCCTGCTTAAAGATTATTGACTTAGGAAACATGAGATCACAATTCCAAGTAATTTAATTGTAAACTACCTATGTAAATGGGCTTCCCTGGTGGCACTAGTGGTAAAGAGTGAAGTGAAAGTCACTCTGTCCTGTACGACTCTTTGTGACCCCATGGACTATACAGTCCATGGAATTCTCCAGGCCAGAATACTGGAGTGGGTAGCCTTTCCCTTCTCCAGGGGATCTTCCCAACCCAGGGATGGAACCCAAGTCTTCTGCATCACAGGTGGATTCTTTATCAGCTGAGCCACAGGGGAAGCCCAAGAATACTGGAGTGGGTAACCTATCCCATCTCCAGTGGATCTTCCCAACCCAGGAATCGAACTGGACCCCCCTGCCAATGCAGGAGACATAAGAGATGTGGGTTGGGAAGATCCCCTGGAGGAGGGCATGGCAACCCGCTTCAGTATTCTTGCCTGGACAATCCCAGAGACAGAGGAGCCTGGTGGGCTACAATCCATAGGGTCGCAAAGACTTGGCGCACACACCTGTAAAAATTGCTAAATGACATTGTCATTGCTTAAAATATAGTAAAATTAATACTAAAACCATAACTTTTAGGTTTTCCTTCTCTGCAGACTCCTACAATTCATCTATCTCCCATTCCTAAAGAATTTTTCTCTCAAAGCTCTCTTTGCCTTTCAGTGACTGCAGTGTTCATACCTGTTCAAGTCTTTAGCAATTATCCATATACTTCCAAAGCCTTACAAGCTGCCTGTCTCTCTAGTCTTTAATTCCTTAAATCAGGCTTGTTGTCACCATATAAAACTTTCTAAAATATCTTGCTTTTAAAATTTCTTTCTTATGAACTTTAAATTTCACTTCATTATTTTTAGTATAAAAGTTAAAATTCTTTGGTATTAGTTACGTTTCTGAACAGAAGATAACAGGAATTATTGTTTTAATTCACATTCTTGAATACTTACATATAAATTCACATCCACTTCAACCCAGTTAGCGGTTTTCAAAGAAACATCAAGACATAAAGATAACCCCTCAGAATTCTTAAAATAAAACAACAACAATATATCAAGTTTATCAAAACAATACTAAAATAATGGATCAGCCTTACCAGCGCCTGGCTCACATTTCCTCCAGTGGCTAATGATTTGAAATGGCTGCTATTATAGACCAACTGAACTTCTGAGATCTCTACTGTTTCCAGTTCCTCCTGAGTTTGCCGATCAATCACATGCAACTTCTCTACACTGTCCAAGAGCACAATTGTGCGTGAGTTTATCCACTATAATTCAAGCACACAGAAACACAAAAGTGAGGCCCATCCCACATCATCATCCAGGACGAGAAGAAAGCTTGGCCACTCAGTTCAATGACACTGAGGACCTTAACCATTTAATCAATCAGGTGATGACAACACAATCACAGGGAGAACTACTCAGTACCAGCCCAAAAAACAGCAGGTGCACAGCATAGTATTGAGTTTTGATGGTATTAAGGTGATTCATAATATAAAAGAAGGCTAACTAAGAGCCCTAATAGATATTATGGGATAAATTGTTTTTTATCAAATTTTTTTAAAGGTACTACATTGACACAATAACTTAAAAGTGACCAACTTTGCATTTCTAGTGTTTTGACATTAATCAAACAAAATGGTGAATGAAACCTCATAAACCTAGCTGGTCAAAGAATGATCGTTAGCATTTAAGTATTACATATTTTAAAATGGAAACTATTTAAAAAATATATATTTCCTTCAAAACATACCTACAAATTATGGCAGAGTTCTTTGCTCTATTTCTCTAGATAGTCTGAATATTTGTTAATGAGTACTATTACAATTTTAAAAGTAATAATAATGCTAAAATCTACTAAAGGATGTCATTTTGATTAAATTTCTTGGGTTATATATAAAATTTGTTTTCAAAATATTTTTTGAAAATTCTCAATTCCTCCCCAAGAAATAAATAAAGTCTTAAAATCTGCACAATTAGAATTCTAAATTAGCCAGAACAAAGTATTTCCCCTGCACTTTCTCTGATACTAGTTTTGGTTTATTTATATGATCTCTTCCCATGCTCAGAAATTATCTGCATAATCAAATAACAATCAAAAACAATCAAGTTGAAAATGGATCAATTTTTCTATTTTAACTATGCTACATGTGCATATACTTTATCACTATAGTGGCTGCTGTAAGGGAAGGGTTTGGTTTTTCAAAAAAGCATTGTCTCTCAGAAAACAGAGTTTGACACTCAAAACATTTACAAAGAACTTTTGTAATGTGCTCTCTTGACTACTTTGAGAAACAAAGTACCATTCAGAAAAGACACATTATTCAGCCTTGTACAAACTTAGTGCTAGATTTTACACACTTTCAAAAGTCACCTGGTTAACAGAAAGAATGACCAAGAATGTTAGCATGTTTAGCAATTATTCTTGGGATTAGACTCTCACTATTTTAAGTGTTGACACGTTGTAAACAATCCTTTTAAAGGTAACTTACAAAGCAATGCAGTTAGGGGTCACATCATGCATATGTCATAGGACAAATGAAAAACACTCACTGTCCTACTATTAGAATGACTACTTGTGGTTGGGAAATTTTTTCCAGGGACAGAATCACATGCAGATGTTTACAGAGTTATACCTCAAACAAAAAAAAAAAAGATATACCTCAAACATCTTAAATGCAAGTGACAATGATGAATTCTAGAAAAATATATTACACAATTCCACAAGGGATTCTGGTAATGACAAAACACTGATGTCTAATATACTTGGGAAGAGGTTGAAGAAAATTATTTCATGAAATGTGTGTGGGAAAAAAGTGTTATTTCTAAATCAAGTTTGTGAGATTTAAAAAGCAATGTGCAAATAAATTTAATAAATCATCTATTATAAAAATTGATATGAAAGGAAATAATCTTTTTTTTTTAAACCAAAAGGTTTCTCAGGACCGAGATGCATGGTAGAGAGAACTCTGCAAAATTTTTTAGCCACAAGAAAATAGTATCTCCTAAAAAAAAAAAAAAGAAAATAGTATCTCCTGAACCAATGAGGACATACTCAGAAGTACCAAAATGTGTTTACAAAGAAAGCCCAGCAATGACCCTGAAAAAATTATTCTGATCTACCCTTTGAGCTATTCAAGAGTTTAAAGAAAAATTTGGTGATCTTGCCAGTATTCAGCAGGCTGAAGGACAATAAAAATAATGTGTAGCATCACACCAATATCGAAAAGACTTTTTTCAGTACAAGCAGGACTTCACTTCTGTCCACATTTTATATCATCCTAAAGGTCATGGTTTATGGCAGAAATCCTGGGAGCCTTAACAGAACATGGACTCAAAACAACTACATAAAGTAATTGGGGCTATTTCATTTCAATAGTACTCACAGTAAAGTTGATGAGGTCATAGTATAGGTGAAGATGCTTTTGCTTAGTAACATGTATCGCTCCAGATTCGTCTCTCTTAACCTGATGATGAAATAAAAACAACCTGAGATTTGTTAAAAAACTGGAAATAGAACTGCCATATGACCCAGCAATCCCACTTCTGGGCATACATACCGAGGAAACCAGATCTGAAAGAGACACGTGTACCCCAATGTTCATCGCAGCACTGTTTATAATAGCCAGGACATGGAAGCAACCTAGATGCCCATCAGCAGACGAATGGATAAGGAAGCTGTGGTACATATACACCATGGAATATTACTCAGCCATTAAAAAGAATTCATTTGAATCAGTTCTAATGAGATGGATGAAACTGGAGCCCATTATACAGAGTGAAGTAAGCCAGAAAGATAAAGACCATTACAGCATACTAACACATATATAAGGAATTTAGAAAGATGGTAATGATAACCCTATATGCAAAACAGAAAAAGAGACTCAGATGTACAGAACAGAATTTTGGACTCTGTGGGAGAAGGCGAGGGTGGGATGTTTTGAGAGATCAGCATTGCAACGTGTATATTATCTATAGTGAAACAGATCACCAGCCCAGGTTGGATGCATGAGACAAGTGCTCGGGCCTGGTGCACTGGGAAGACCCAGAGGGATCAGGTAGAGAGGGAGGTGGGAGGGGGGATTGGGATGGGGAATACATGTAAATCCATGGGTGATTCAGGTCAATGTATGACAAAACCCACTACAATATTGTAAAGTAATTAGCCTCCAACTAATAAAAATAAATGAAAAAAAAAACACAATTAAAAAAAAAACCTGAATATCAGCTACTGTTTGAGAGACTTTAAAAAGTTTCTCACCTAGTCAATCCACCTAGAACATGATTTCCATTCAGAATATGGGTAAAACAAATACTGATAACTAAAGAAACTATTAAACAAATGAAAAAAATCACTCACAAGTGTATGTAGTATATCTGGTATAATCCATGGTATAGCTGGTCAGTGGTCAAGCTGTCAGTTTAGGCATACCATGTTTGAAATGCACTTCACTTTATTGTGCTTCCAGATACTGCGTGTGTTACAAACTGAAGATCTGTGGCAACCTCGCGTCCATCTATTGGCGCCACTTTTCCAACAACATTTGCTCGCTTGCTTCCTGTCTCTGTGTCACATTTTGGTAATTTTTGCAGTAGTTCAAACTTTTTCAGTATTATTTGTTATAGTAATCTGTGATTAGTGACCTTTGATGTTACTATTGTAATTGTTTTGGCTTTTTTTAAGCAATAAAGTATTTTTAAATTAAGGTATGCTTTAGAGATAATGTTATTACACACTTAAAAGACTAGACTACAATGTAGTGCAAACATAACTTTTCTATCTATGCCCTGGGAAACCAATCAACTTACGTGACTCACTGCACTGCAGTATTTGCTTTATTGCAGTGGTCTGAAACGGAACCAACAATATCCCCAGGGTATGCCTGTACTGGCAAATTTAACATTCACTCTGTCATACTCAGAACAAACTAACTTCATCACATCAATAACTGTATTTAGCCAGAGTTAAAGCATAAAATAGGATTAGTCGCATGGTGTAAAAAATGTAAAACAAAAGTACATAAAAGGAAAAAAAGGTGCTGAAGTGACCAAAACTAGGCTTTTCTGAAATATGATACTAGTATAGCTCAAACAGCCCGAAATTTCCCAGAACTTCAAGTGTTAATATTGTACTTATATGTGCATATGTATACACCCTATAATCTTCAGCTGTCCTCCTCATTTGTTCTATTTCTGCTCCAAGACAACAGAGCACTGAAGAAGACGGACACAATACAGTGACCTGCCTGAAACGCATGACATTCAATTCAACTTGGGTTTTCTTGCATACTTCCCATAGCAGTGACCTAGAGGTCCTTCTTTCCCTTTACGTCCCAGTTCCTCTTTGCCTTCAAATCCCATCACTTGTCATGTTGACCTCACCAGATAACAAACAACTGAGACCATTTAATGTGAGCCCTTCATGTCCTCCCATCTTTACTTCCTAAGTCACTTCCCCAGTAAGAAAGGCGGCTCTGGTAAAAGGAGCTAGATCTACAACCACGTGTTTAAGAGCAAGTTCCACTATTACAGCTGAGTCACCAAAGGTAAATCATTTATTCTTCCAGTTTCATCTGTAAAATGAAAATAAGAAAGCATCAAATTGTTCTGTATCTTGCATATGTTTAAAGTGTTTCATAAACAAGAATATCAAGGCCAACATTAACTATTTTAAGACTGGCTGAAGTCCTTACTAAAGAAAATCACTTCACCTGTATAAACTCTGAATCCTACTCCCTCCTTCACTGCTTAATATTACCCCTCCTCTGCTAATATATTTAATCACTTCTTTGAAAGGTCCTTTATCCTCTTGCTATCAGACAGGTTTCTGACTTATCCATCTTCAAAAAACAAAAATTTTCCCCTGATTTACTTCTTACAGAAAATTAAGAACTTTTCTCCTCTTGCAACCAAACACTGTACTCAGTAGTGTCAGTCTGTTCTTCTAGAAACCCATTCCTTTAACAACGCTCTATAATTCATCTTTCACTTCAATTCCGCTGATGATTAGTCCTCTGAAATGTTTCTAAAAGCTACTTCTCACATATCTGGTGGCCTTGCCTTCAGTCTTCTTCCTTGATCTCTCTTTGGTATTGGTATTACACTGGAATTGATAATGTCCTGAAGCCTCTCCTCCTCCGTCTTTTGTAGATGCTATAACTGTTCTAGTTCCCCACCTACCTCCACATGCCTTTATAGGATCCTCCTTTCTATTGCCTTTGTTTTCCTTTTCCTTATACGAGTGTCCACCAACATTATGGATGCTCTCGCTTTTGATTTACAGAGCTTCAACTACCTTCTCAATCCTGGAATTTGCATTTGCACCCCAGACCTGGATTGCCAATCAGCCCAGAGAACATTACTCAAGTCTCACCTTCACTTCCAACCCAACACTATCCTTCCCTAACTCTACTCTTTGAATGTGTCATGCTTCTAAAATACAAAGCCAGAAATGCAATGTTTTCTGTCTTTCAGTCCCCATGAAAAGCCTTGTCTTTCCTTCAAAATGCCATCCCTAACTCTCACTGCAACCATCCTTGTCTAAAGACCTCACTTGCTTTATTAAAAGAGCAAAACCCTTTATTTCCCTCCAACCTCCTATAATCGGTTCTTTTTTCTATTTCTACAGTGCTATTCCTAAAATGTCACTTTGATCATATCACTTTAATTACCTAAAAACCTGTGATGGTTCCCCCTTACCAATCTAGGGCGATTATTATAGAATCTAGATCAGAGGTTAGCAAACTTTTTCTGTAAAAGGGCATACAGTAAATATTTTTGGATCTGCAGAGCATACAATCTCTGTCCTAACTACTCAATTCTGCCACTGTTGTGCAAAAGCAGCCATAAATAAGACATAACCAAATGGGTATGAAATAAAACTTCACAAAATCAAGTAGCCAGCCAGGTCCACAGGCCATAGTCTGCCAACCTCTAATCTAGATCCATGCCATATATTCAACTTTATTTTCAACAATAAGTTTCTCCCTGTTATTAATTCTACTAACATTTATTACTGACCTTCTACATATTTAAGTACTGTCCAAGTAGTTGGAATATAGCAGTAGGGTTGGTTTTAGACTTATGGAGCTTTCAGTCTAGTGAAGAAGAAAAATATTAAATAAGGAATTTTAGAAGTGCTGAATGTTATAAAAGAAGGTATTATGGATGTTTGTAGTGGGAAATGCTAACTGAGGTCAGTAGGTCAGGGAAGGCAATGCTAATCATGAGCTAGGATAATGCAGAAGAGAGCACAGAGCTTTCCTGGCAGAGATGTTGGCCTATGTAAAGACACCAAAGCCAAAGACATGGAAGCATCCTAAATGTCCATCGATAATGAATGGATAAAGAAGATGTGGTACATTTACTCAGCCACAAGAAAGAATGAAACAATGCTTTTGCAGCACCATGGATGGGCCTAGAGACTGTCATACTAAGTAAATCAGACAGAGAAAGACAAATACATGATATCGCTGATATGTGGAATCTAAAAAAATGACACGAATGAACAGACTTGTGGACTCTCGGAGAAGGCGAGGGTGGGATGTTTCAAGAGAACAGCATCGAAACACGTATATTATCTAGGGTGAAACAGATCACCAGCCCAGGTTGGGTGCATGAGACAAGTGCTCGGGCCTGGTGCACTGGGAAGACCCAGAGGGATCGGGTGGAGAGGGAGGTGGGAGGGGGGACCGGGATGGGGAAAAAAAAAAAAAAAAACAACTGTACTTCAGTGAAAATAAATAAAATTTTTTGAAAAGAAAAAAAAAAAAAAAAACAGAAACAGGCTCACAGACATAGAAAACAAACATGGTTACCACGGGGAAAGAGGGAGTGGGATAAATTAGGAGTTTGGGATAAGCAGATACAAACTAGTATAGATAAAAGATAAACAGCAAGGTCCTACTGTAAAGCACAGGAAATTATATTCAATATCTCATAATATCTACAATGGAAAAGCTGGAAAAGAATATATATATATATATATATATATATGTAAACTGAATCACTTTGCTGTACACCAGAAACTAACTCAATACTGTCAATCAACTATATGTCAATTAAAAAAAGAAGTAAAAAGACACTGAGGAAAAAGACTAGTTAGGAAGCTACTTCAGAGCCTGGGTTAGAAATGCCTGTGATTTAGGCTAGGGAAGCAGCAATAGGGGAGACAAAAAAAGGAAGTAAATAAGAGTCAGCAGGATGTGCGATGGAGCAGGAATAGAGAGAAAAATGCAACTGAAAGGCAACTCCCGGTCTCAAGGTGGAGAAACGAGGTGGATAGCGAGGCACTTGCTTCACTGAGCTGGGAAAGTCAGGAAGGGATTCCACAGGCACGTTCTCATCTCCGTATTTCAGTTCATCTTATTTCCCCCAACATGTACATCCAGCCCTCCTGGAGTATTTGCCCTATGCCCTTCATAAAGTCTTCCACAGCCTCTGTAATCCACACAAATCTCTTCATGCTCCAAACTTACATCAAGTTTTAAATTCTCATCACATAGTAGAGTCCTTAAACTGTCCTCACTAGTAGCAATGAACATACTGGTTTTGCCTTTCAAACCATATTTTATCCTATTTTGAAGAAGAAATTAAGCTTTATACGTCCTCCAACTGCCTCGTGTCCACTACAATGTAAAGGACGTAATAGGTGCTCAATGATACTTGCTTTATTAAACACACTATATGTAGGTAGGTAAGCCATTAATACAGACCTATGTACATTCAAATATTTACACATACACATATACTATTAATTATTTGTTAGTCAAAGGAGATGGAAATAAGAAATACACCATGAGAAGGCATGGAGCTGAGGGTTTTCCATGTTAACCACTAAAGCCTCGAAAATTAAACAGGTCACTCTCTCTCCAAAGAATTATGATAGTATATTTCTTTGACACAATATTAAATTACTGGTGAATCAGAATGATAACCTATGACAAAGGACTTCAGCACAGATGTAGCATCATATTAGGACTTACCAGGAGAAAATGAACAACATCTCCTCTGCAGAAGGCAAGCATGGGATTCACATAATTATGCACTGCCACGAAGTGCCAGGCCAGCAACGGAACACTGGAAGGATCCATCTGCGTAAGAAGGGAAAAAAAAAACAAAAAATTATTGTTAACACAAGAAGAATGAAAACTCTGGTTTAAATCAGCAATGGACTGGTGTTCCTTGATAAAAACTTCTCCTAATTTCTCATTAAAATTCCAGTGGAGTATGGACTGATTGGGAAGCGTCAAGAGGGAACCTTCTTTGTGGACAATAATGTTCCACATCTTGACAGAAGTTTGGGTTATAAGTATCTATATTTGGCAAAGTTTAGCAAGTGTACACTCAAGCTCTGTGTGTTTTGTTGTATGTAAATTTTTCTACCAAAGGAAAAACTTTGAATACTGAACTGTACTTAATCATATGCATGTTGAATATTTGCAGGGGTGGGGGGGGAGGAAGAGTACTAATTTCTGCAATTTACTTGGAAGCACATTTTAAAAAAATAATTTGATGAGTGAATGACAATAAACAGGTATATAATGAAGTATACAATACTAATGGCCAGAGTTTTACAATGATAGGTATATAGACGTTTAATGTAAAATCCTTTCAGCTCCTCTATTTATTTGAAAATGTTCATAATAAAATATTGGGGGAAAAAATCAACAAAAACAAAGATGCAAACACATACCATGATAAATCTCAGTCAATGAAGGTCACCTAAGAACAGTTAATGGTGATCTGAGCAGGCTCTACCATCTGAAAGGGCAGGCCTCAGGCCCAGAGATAGAGTACCAACAAGAAAACTGAAGAGTGAGCTCGCTCATTACAGGGCCTACTTTCTGAACTAGTCTTGGTCCTATACTGTCATTCTCCATCACATCCCATCCATGCCTCTCCTTATATATTCCTGGAAGAAAACATCACTTTGAAAGCATCCAAGCAGGAAGGAAAAGAGATACCGAGGTGTGCATAATACATTGCGAGAAGCATCCCCCAAAATGAAATATCACAGGCAGAAGAAACCCAGGAAAGAATACGTCAGAACAATTCACACTATGTTACGGTGGGGTGCTCTATATCAGTAGTTCAATATCAAAGCAGCAGCTGTTCATGGGAGAAAACTTAACAGAATAAAGGTAGGGAAGTATAGATCTTGTGATCCCCAGGACACTGCTCTGGTTGCCAGCTGACACTGCTTTGGTCACATCAAGGTAAGCAGACAGAGAGCTGATTTCCATTCTACCTAGCTTTCTGACAGCCTCAAAGAATTCGCCACTTGTGAGTCATCTTCCCCAACCTCCCAACATGGTCTTTTTGCCCATAAGATGTAAAGGCTTACTCACCCGTCCATAAGGAAAAGTCATCCACACTTTCAAGGATGGCTTCAATCCAATGACCAGTATCTTTAGGGGGAAAAAATGTATTTTTACTATTTACCCTGCAATTTTCAGATTTTTGGTATTCAAAGTGTCTTAAGTTATGAGCTTCGTCTTCTAAATACCTTTGTTAAGGATGCCATAGCCAATAAGGAAAACTGTGTGATGGGATGATCTTTCAACTCGGGCTTAGAGTGGAGAGGTTCAATACAACAAACTTCACCCTTGGAACCGCTGAACAGGCATCGAGATTCACAAGTTCTCACTCCCATCACTCTCCTGAAAAGGTAACCCAAAAATGCAGAATCAACTTAGCAATGATCCAAGGCACTACATCTCTATAAGAGATAAAAGCCTCCTGACCCCTACTCCTGCCCCCAACAATCCAAACTCCATATGACATCAGCACGTCCTTTTCAACATAGGGTCAGATTTACCACCTTCTCCTATGGCTTCTCCCTCTCCAATGGCTTACCACTGTAGACAAAATAAAATCGACTCCTACCAGGTTTAACAGGTCCTATGTGATTTTATATGATCTCTCTCCTGCCTGCGCTCCTCTCCCACTGCTACTGCTCCTGATAAACACATGCGACAGCCACACTGGCCTTCTGTCCACTGCTCCAGCAGGTCACGGTGTGCCCACCTCAAAGTTTTTGTGCTTGAACATCCCTCTGCCTGAACACTTCTTCTAGGTCTTTCCATTTGTTGACCAGATTATCGTTTTTTGTTTAAATGTCACCTTCAGAGAGAGGCCTTCCTGAATTATTCTCAAATGCACCCCAGCACACTGACCTGTCTTATTTTCTTCACAGCACTCATACCTAAAGTTGTTTATGTGTTGGTTTATTGTCTGTCTCCCTACCCCCACCCCAACTAGAATGTAAGTTCTACAAGAGTAGCAACCTTGACCGGTTCACAGCCATAACTCTGGTATCTAAAACAATGCCTACACATAGGGGATAGCCAATAAACATCAGCTGAAAAAAATCAACAGTACTGCGGTAGGTGCTGAGAGAGGGTATCAGAGGCCAGACAGACAGAAATCACAATCACAGAAAACTAACCAATCTAATCACGAGGACCACAGTCTTGTCAAACTCAATGAAACTGAGGCATGCCATGTAGGGCCACCCACCCAAAACAGACAGGTCATGGTGGACAGTTCTAACAAAATGTGGTCCACTGGAGAAGGGAATGGCAAACCACTTCAGTATTCTTGCCGTGAACAGTGTGAAAAGGCAAAAAGAGAGGCCACTGAAAGATGAACTCCCCAGGTCAGTAGGTGCCCAACATGCTACTGGAGATCAGTGGAGAAATAACTCCAAAAGAATGAAGAGACAGAGCCAAAGCAAAAATACCACCCAGTTGTGGATGTGACTGGTGATGGAAACAATGCCGTAAAGAATATTGCACAGGAACCTGGAATGTTAGGTCCATGAATCAAGGCAAATTGGAAGTGGTCAAAGAGGAGATGGCAAGAGTGAATGTCGACATTATAGGAATCAGAGAACTAAAATGAACTGGAATGGGTGAATATAACTCAGATGACCATCATATCTACTACTGTGGGCAAGAATCCCTTAGAAGAAATGGTAGTAGCCATCATAGTCAACAAGAGAGTCCAAAATGCAGTACTTGGATGCAATCTCAAAAACAATAGAATGATCTCTGTTCACTTTCAAGGCAAACCATTCAATATCACGGTAATCCAAGTCTATGCCCCGAACAGTAACGCTGAGGCAGCTGAAGTTGAATGGTGCTGTCAAGACCTACAAAGGCCTTTTAGAACTAACACCCAAAAAAGATAGCCTTTTCATTATAGGGGACTGGAATGCAAAAGTAGGAAGTCAAGAAACACCTGGAGTAACAGGCAAATTTGGCCTTGGAGTATGGAATGAAGCAGGGCAAAGGCTCATAGAGCTTTGCCAAAAGAATGCACTGATCACAGCAAACACCCTCTTCCAACAACACAAGAGAAGACTCTGCACATGGACATCACCAGAGGTCAACCCCGAAATCAGATTGATTATATTCTTTACAGCCAAAGATGGAGAAGCTCTATACAGTCAGCAAAAACAAGACCGGGAGCTGACTGTGGCTCAGATCATGAACTTCTTACTGCCAAATTCAGATTTAAATTGAAGAAGGTAAGGAAAAACACTAAACCATTCAGGTATGACCTAAATCAGATCCCTTACGATTGCACAGTGGAAGTAAGAAATAGATTTCAGGGACTAGATCTGATAAGAGTGTCTGATGAACTATGGATGGAGGTTCATGACATTGTACCCGAGACAAGGATCAAGACCATCCCCAAGAAAAAGAAATGCAAAAAGCAAAATGGCTCTCTGAGGAGCCTTACAAATAGCTGTGAAAAGAAGAGAAGCAAAAAACAAAGGAGAAGAGGAAAGATACACCCATCTGAATGCAGAGTTCCAAAGAATATCAAGGAGAGATAAGAAAGCCTCCCTCAGTGATCAGTGCAAAGAAATAGAGGAAAACAATAGAGTGGGAAAGACTGGAGATCTCTTCAAGAAAATTAGAGATACCAAGGGAATATTTCATGCAAAGATGGGCTTGATAAAGGAAAGAAATGGTATGCTTCTAACAGAAGCAGAAGATATTAAGAGGTGGCAAGAACACACAGAAGAACTGTACAAAAAATATCTTCACGACCTAGATGATCACAATGGTGTGATCACTCACCTAGAGTCAGACATCCTGGAATGTGAAGTGAAGTGGGCTTTAGGAAGCATCACTATGAACAAAGCTAGTGGGGGTGATGGAATTCCATTTGAGCTATTTCAAATCCTGAAAGATGATGCTGTGAAAGTGCTGCACTCAATATGCCAGCAAAGTTGGAAAACTCAGCAGTGGCCACGGGACTGGAAAAAGTCAGTTTCATTCCAATCCCTAAGAAAGGGAATGCCAAAGAATGCTCAAACTACCGCACAACTGCACTCATCTCACACGGTAGTAATGCTCAAAATTCTCCAAGTCAGGCTTCAACAATACATGAACCGTGAACTTCCAGATGTTCAAGCTGGTTTTAGAAAAGGCAGAGGAACTAGAGATCAAATTGCCAACATCGCTAGATCACTGAAAAAGCCAGAGACTTTCAGAAACACGTCTATTTCTGCCTTACTGACTATGCCAAAGCTTTTGATTGTGTGGATCACAACAAACCGTGGAAAATTCTTCAAGAGATGGGAATACCAAACCACCTGACCTGCCTCTTGAGAAACATGTATGTGGGTCAGGAAGCAACAGTTAGAACCAGACATGGAACAACAGACTGGTTCCAAATAGAAAAAGGAAAACATTAAGGCTGTATATTGTCACCCAACTTCTTTAACTTATATGCAGAGTACATCATGAGTAATGCCGGGCTGGATGAAGCACAAGCTGGGATCAAGATTGCTGGAAGAAATATCAATAACCTCAGATATGCAGGTGACACGACCCTTATGGCAGAAAGTGAAGAAGAACTAAAGAGCCTCTTGATGAAAGTGAGAGAGGAGAGTGAAAAACTTGGCTTAAAGCTCAACATTCAGAAAACTAAGATCATGGTGTCCAGTCCCATCACTTCATGGCAAATAGATGGGGAAAGAGTGGAAACAGTGGCTGACTTTATTTTGGGGGGCTCCAAAATCACTGCAGATGGTGACTGCAACCATGAAATTAAAAGATGCTTACTCCTTGGAAGGAAAGTTATGACCAACCTAGATAGACAGCATATTAAAAAGCAGAGACATTACTTTGCCAACAAAGGTCCATCTAATCAAGGCTATGGTTTTTCCAGTAGTCATGTATGGATGTGAGAGTTGGACTATAAAGAAAGCTGAGCACCAAGGAATTGATACTTTTGAACTGTGGTGTTGGAGAAGACTTTCAAAAGTCCCTTGGGCTGCAAGGAAATCCAACCAGTCCATCCTAAAGGAGATCAGTCCTGGCTGTTCATTGGAAGGACTGATGCTGAAGCTGAAACTCCAATACTTTGGCCACCTCATGCGAAGAACTGACTCATTTGAAAAGACCCTGATGCTGGGAAAGATTGAAGGTGGCAGGATAAGGAGACGACAGAGGATGAGATGGTTGGATGGCATCACCGATTCAACGGACATGGACAGAGAGGCCTGGTGTGCTGCGGGCCATGGGGTCGCAAAGAGTCGGACACGACTGAGCAACTGAACTGAACTGGTATTTTTCAAACAATTATTTTGGACTCAATGTTGTCAGGAGGCATGTGAAATGTAAGAAACAGAGTCCTTACTTTGAAGAACTTTGGAAACAAAATACACATTGAATTTTTTTTGTCTTTTTAAACTCAGATTTATAAATGTTCTTACACAAATCTAAACAGTCTTTCCCTTTATTTAAAGAGTAAACAGGGCAATTCCAAGGCAAAAGGAACCTTGTACACCTGGTCATTATGGTTATAACCAACTGGGCCTGGGGTCTAAACTGAAATTACTGATATACTCCAGGATAATAGTTCCTAAGATTGACAAGAGTTTAGGAACACTTTGGGGAGAAGGAGTCTAGAATCCCAACTCAGTACTGAGACAGAATTTTGGGGGACCAGGAGTGGTGCTCCATATGTTCTATAAGCCTCCCCAGATAAGTGTAATACACAGCCACAACCTATTTACAATCACATGGGTTTTCCAGACCTCTTCATATTCAACTTCAAGTCATTAAATTGGAGCTAATCTTTTCGTTTGTCTACAAACATCCAATAGTCTCTTACTTAAATGTCAATTCAAAAACAGAGCCTCCGCTGTCGTTGCAAATTGCAAGAGTTGGATCATCTGTAAACTAAACAGAGAAGGAATTTATTTTCTTAACGATTTTTAAACAACCAGTCAAATGTTAAAAAGGGGAAAAACTATAAAATTTTAAAAACACAAGACAAACACATTTAATAGCATTTGAAATCACCTAGACTGACCTCATTACTCTAAACATAAAAACTTACCCATATTTAGAATAAAAATGGTTTGATATCATTAAAAACTGAGACTTTAAAGAAGTAAAACCACCTCTCAACAGGATAAAAGAAAAATACAAACTATGATTCATAAAAGCCCTAAACTTCTCTACTTGGGTTCTTATATTAATTTTTTCAAACCTGCTATTAAGCTGAATAGGATACTTTGGATATACTTACAGAGGCCTAGCTCTCAAGAATAAAGGCACACACAGTAAAAGATATTTGATGTCTTTGGGAAATAAGCTTGTTAGAATATGTTTTCTGAATAACTGAAGAGTTAATCTACTATATTTAAAAAGAGTTTAACTTTTTATGCAACTCTTCCTAAAATGTTCTGCCCCTTCAGTCTTCAATAAAGTATACTTTAGTTACTATTATCTACCCTGGAAAACTCAATAAATAATGTCCACAATGAGAGACTGTCCCAAGGGCTGATGTGGCCTGGTATATGTGCATGCCAATAGACACCAAATTGAATAACTTATGTCACTTCCAGTGCCTAGTCTCCCTAACCCCAAAGGTTGTAAAACCATCCTAACTGGCATACTTTTGGACTCTTCTTGAATGGCTGAGGTATAGGAGGCTACTATGAAATGCATCTTCCTCAACCACACATAGGCAAAGTAAAGAAGTCCTACACCATGGTTCTCAAAGGCCTAGCTGAGCAGCTGCAAAAGTGGAGTGTAGAAAAAATAATGGCATTCATAATTTTTATTTATTTTCTACTTACTGTGTGTTTTATGATATACTTCAATTTAGTATGGTAGTACATTTAATTCTAAATATATATTTTATATACATATACACACACAGAGAGACATGTGTGTGTGTGTATGTGTGTGTGTGTGTATGAATTAAAGCCCAAATTATTATTGATGAGATGTGTAGGGTTAAGTTTGGAATGAGTAAGAGGTTGACAGCTTAAGTAGCCTTTGTCGATAGTAGGCCTCAGAATTACTAAGAAGTGTCTATACTTGTGGCATTCCCAAGCAACACAAGTGTGCTTTCAATGTCAGCTAAACTCTTCTGCTTTCATTTCTTCTGCCTTTTTCTGTCTTTACCTCTTCTGTTTCGTATTGTTTCTCCCAAAGATTTTGCTTTTTTCTGCAAATGGACTGGATTTTCATAAACCACCAAACAAACATTTATTGAGCAACTACTACATGTAACACACAAAAATAAAAGAGAAACAGATCCTGGTTTCAAAGACCTTAATCTATTAAAGGAGATAAGACATAACACAAACAATAACATATTAGAAGTTGGCGCATGCCGTATGAAAACCGGTCAAGATAAACTGCCATGATGTTCAGAAAGAGGAGAAATTCTACTTTTACTTGTCTTGGTTGTTTTCATTGTTACTAAATGCTTCAATGCCGCTTTCACAAAAGACTTTTTATGTAACTAACCGATATGCAGACACATAAACTCCAGATGCTCCCAGACTTTAAAAAGCATATGTATGGATAAGAGAGGTCTGCACAGCTAACTAACCAAATGTGTACATGATTAAAATCCAGAAGACCTGATTTTAGACTTCCCTAGTTATAATCCTGTACGTTTTATACTTCTGAACATGGGCTTGACAGCATACAAAAACCAAGGTTCACACTGTATTTATAAAGTAAATGTTACCTAAGGTGGTTTATTTTTTTCAGGCATGTAAGGAGAAAGTCAAGATTCAAACCTTGATGCTTTTCCTTTGGAGGCCTGAAAGAAAATAAACCAAGAAATTCGTTTCTAAACATAATGCAAACCTTGGTTCTTTCACAACTGGTGCCTTGAGCTTCAAGTAATTCCCAACAAAGTGTGACAGGGCACACCACCTCAGCAGTAAAATCCTGGTGGACTAAGCAAAAAAGTAAAAAGACCTTTTAAAATCTGCACGTGAGTTTTCAGCAGGGTACTGCCTGTCTTTGCTGCCAACCTTTTGTCTAGGATCACTTCAATTTACTCTTTCCTGCTGTATCTACTAGACGTCAATACAACTTATAGCTTAATGTTACCATGATAGCCTATCTCTGGACTTTACTTGGGAAAACATCTTGTTGGGCCAGTCACATAAAAGACTCTCAAGGATTCCATTTATAAAGAAATCTACTTTAAAATGGATACAAGGGCATAATAATAAAGATTATTAGAAAAAGAAAATAAGAACTGTACCTTAATATGTAATATTGCTGTTCCCGGAGGATGAGCATCTGTTATTGATCTTAGAAGCTTTCCACTGGCCAAATCCCACATAGTGATCTATAAGACAACTAAATGCTTTAAAAACAAATTTATTGCTCTTTTTTGGACTTAAGTATCCTGGCTTTTGGCTGAAATAATCTATTCCTGGTCTATAAACATTACAGACAAAGAACTATAAAGTTAAAACATAACTAAAGGTTGCAGATCCACTAAAGCATGGGGCCCTTATTCCATCTTCATCCTCCCCTCATCCTACCCAGTCTACTTTTCCCTTCAGATTTTAAATCTTATTCTTTTACTGAGAGGTCAAAGAGATTTCTTTAATGAGTCAATGTCTTTAGCACTGGTAAAAATTATAAAAAGGGCTTATTGTCAAACCAATTAGTGACATGTAAGTCAGAAGAAGAGAAGAAACAAAACTTACTGCCCAGTTTCAGAAGTAAAAACAAATACCCAATTTGTGTCCAGGGATACACTTACAAAGCAGAATATACTGTACTTAAAAATCAGCAACAATCATCCTCACTACAGAAAGAAAGTACATTTTGTGTAACAGCCTGGTTGGTTTATAAAAGCTATTTACATATAGGGACATATGAATTGAGATATTAAAAATCATAGACTCTGGCTCAGTCAATAACTTAATTTAAAAATTTGGACAAAAGTCAGACCAAGCAAATTCAGGTTAGCTCTACAGACAGATATATCACTTTATAACATGCTTTTGTCTTCAAGATACTGATCTAGAGACAACAAGTTTAATTCATTTTACACTGTCTTATAGGTAAAATAAAGCTCCTATTTACCTGTCCCTTAGCAAAGCCACAGAGAAGTCTTGAGCAGTCATTGTTGATACTGAGGGCAGAGATAGCTCCATACTGACCTCCAACACTAGTGCTACCCAAGCAGAGTCGCAAAGCTTGATTCTGATCTAAAGAAAGCAATTGATAAAATCAAGTGAAAGAAATAAAGGGCTGACTAAATATGTACATAGCATAGGCTGTTTTCAAACACTTTGAGGTAGTAAGAATCAAAAGAATCAAATGAAGTTATGTTCATCTTAAAATGTATTTATTGAGCACCTACTAAACAGTGGGCATTGAATTAGACACTAAGAATGCAGAAAAAAACAATAACTACAAGGAAGCATAATACAAAACTTGCTAATGTTAAAAAAAAATACTAAGAAAACTGTATCTCTTGGAACAACCAACTAACTTTCATTCTAGAACTGTACTTTTTGCTATTTTTAGAATACAAGGTACATGAAATACCACCTTTTACAGTAGATTTAAAACTTCAAAAATCAAAATTTATTTACAGCTTGGCTAAAATTTACATTTATATTATCCCTGAAGGAAAGATTTACCAGGCAAATGAACAGTATAAATAAAATCATAGGGTATGTTTGAACAACTTAAGAAAATTCTTTTCAAGCATCAACAGCTGATACGCTAAAAGCAAATAATTCAAATCTCTACTAAATTAAGTTACTTAAGGGCAAGGATTCTGCCATAATCACCTCTGATTTCTCTAGGAAGCATATGGATATTACTAAACTTTATTATCTAATAATTAGAAGAAATTCCTGTAGGGCTTCTCCTGCTGCTGCTGCTAAGTCACGTCAGTCGTGTCCAACTCTGTGAGACCCCATAGACGGCAGCCCATCAGGCTCCCCCGTCCCTGGGATTCTCCAGGCAAGAACACTGGAGTGGGTTGCCATCTCCTTCTCCAGGGCTGCTCCTAGGCAGTGCTTATTTTACATTATATAGAGCTCATTATTGCACCCACTTGAAAACAATGCAATAAAAATTTTAAACATAAAGCATGTCTACAAACTTTAATTGTTTTTTTTGGGGGGGTGGGGAGGGGGACACCATACTTGCACAATCAGTTCTCTTAACTCCCCCAGCAATTGTGTGTGCTCCCCTTCACTATGTATGTGCTACTTTTTTGGAGGTAAATACATCTTACTTCCACTCCTAGACTATGACCTAAGGGCTGAGATCATGAGAGAATTAACATCCCCAGAATGCCTAGGGCAGTGCCTTGCACACAGAAGGCATCTGACAATCATCTTAATAGTTGCCATATTTACAAATCTTCCTCCCATAAAGGTAAACCCAGTTATCATCAGACAGAGCCTAAAGACATTCATTCCCAAATGCAGGGAATAATACTAGGTAAGCCCTTTTGCCCATCCAAAGTGAATACTGTAAGAATATTTTTCTGTGTTCACAAGCAGGCTCAAATAGCAATCCCCACTCTCCTCAGGAGTTCTGACACAATTAATGTCACAATTAATTGTCTCAGTTCTGACACAATTAGTGGCTGTATCCAGCACACAGAAAATATTTGATGTTTTATGATGTCACTTTAGATCTTAGCCTTCCAAGATGAACATTTGAAAAGGAATAAAATTCATAATATACAAGGTCTGATGTAAAGTCCTATGTTTATTCACATCTAAAATTATCACAAGAACAGATTTTTTCCTTATTTCCTTCCATCCTTACATACATTTTCCTCCCTTTTCCAGTTTAATCCAAGCTATTAAAATTGCCTTTTTCCTGACTCTAAATATGACATCACATTTTACTTTGCTCTACTGAACTGCATGCCTAATAGTGTTTTCAATGATCCTTACTTTGTCAGGGCTACTTTATACAGTTAGTAGATGATCCTTACACCCTGTTCTGCAAATTGTCAAGATTCACTGGTTGGGCAACAGTGTTGTATACATACTACCACTGTGTGTCATATGAGCAGTCCAACGAATGGACTGAAAAAGTAAGAGGACAGAGACAGAAATTCTGCACCAGCCTCAAAAAGTCCATTTAGCCTGGTTGTCTGCCCTATAGGCAAGAGTAGTGTCAGAATAGCATCTTGCTAAGATCTTTGTAGTCCCTGCTTTGATATCCAAACTACATAGTTCTGATCGACCAGTTCTTAAAGACACTAACTACTGCTTTAACAAAGTTCTTACTTTCAATTTGACTATTTAAGTACTCTTATAACTCAGGGATCACCAATTCAATGGACATGAGTTTGAGTAAACTCCGGGAGTTGGTGATGGACAGGGAGGCCCGGCGCGCTGCAGTCCATGGGGTCGCAAAGAGTCAGACACAACTGAGCGACTGAACTGAGCTGGTAACTCAGGGAAAGCAAGCATAGGCAAATTTAAGGAGTATGACAAAATAAGAGAATAATGGTACCATTAGTAAAAAGAAATAAAGAGGGAAGGAAAAAGGCACAACTAATCTCTACATTAGAAATGCAGAAATGATTCTTTTTCTGACTGTGTACTAAAAACTAGCTAAGACAGGGACCAAATTATCAACAGTGTTCACTCCTAAAATATGTACTAAAATTATATCCCATAGGAGTCTGCTAATGAAGACTGTCAATTTTTTCCCCTTGACTTTTACAATGTATTCATTATCTTTAAAATGTCCCTTTATAAGGTAGCATGGCTGTGAGGTAATGGACAGTGCATAAAATGTAATACAGTTTAACTCCACAAAGATACTTATCAATTCTTATTGGTGTCATTATACATTCTGTATTTATGGTGCCATATTAACAAATCTATGCAATTTAAACTAAAATCAGAAAAGATAGAATTTCTGTGGAAAGAAGAAAGCAGGGTCTTATTGAAGAGGTTTCTTCTACTAGAACATGCTGTAGTCCAGATTTTTCTAGACTATTCTGGGGAAAGGTACCTGGTGAAGACAAACATAAAACCTCTTTCAAACAATATCTAAAGTTACACAGAAGGAACAAAAAGGCCTGAACAGAAATAAGAAAGGTGAAAATCAGAGCTTTCCATGTTCTACTCCTCCAATGGGGTTCTTGGAGGAAAAAAAATCCAATGAGACTGTTGTTTTTCCTGTAAGCGTCACAGAGTTGGTACAGAGCTTAAATTTTGTAAATGCCTATGAAAAATATGAAAACTATCCAATGACACACATGCAAAGAATTAAATGATAATAAGCAGCTTATCAATTAAGAGAACTCGAAGCCCAGTTACCACAAAAAGCACATCTAAATTGACAGTGCAATGAATTACATCTATTTCTTTATTAGTATACCTTTCAAAATACACTTTACTTAGGGTTGACCTCAGCATATTCCAGGCTTAAGAGTAATGGACTAAGTAAGAAAGAAAAGCCATAAATAACATATAAAGTCTACAATAGCCATAAAATCTAAATTTGAACATACTTCAAGAATTTCTGCTCTTTCCACATACCAAAATTAACCTAATGCTCTATTTCTTCACCCCTAATTTAACTACACCCTAAAGACCATCAAACAAGGAAATACCTAAATCCTAGAAAGAATCAAAATCAAATTATATGCATTCAGCTCTACTTTTATTGCCAGTATTCACCATTCTTCAATACTACTCCTTTGTGCACATTAAAATATTCTCTAAGACCAAAGAAGAAGAAGAAAAGAGATTAGGAAACATTTTTCATCAATGTTCATAAAACAGCAGAAGCACTGTATTTGACCACCATCTAAAACACACAGAATTAAAGCTCTCCATTCCCTCTTTAATCTTACTGACTAAAGCCCAGGATACACTGACTCCCCACAGATAACTGGCTATTTTCTAGAATGCAGATGCTTAGGAAGAGTCAACTGTGTTCATTTCCAAATCTGTTCATGCCACTATAAATACCACTGCACTTAAAAAATGTTAATTAAACAGTATGTCAACTGATGAAATAAGTGGAAAAGAGCAAGCTGCTGTTTCTATGACCGGTTTTAGAACCTGGTAAAGATGAGCTGCTCTAAGTAACTGTCATGAAGTAAGGTATGGACATGATACCTGCAGAAAACTGAAAAGTTCTATGAAAATCTAAAATTTGCACACCTCGAGTGATTCACAGGTACCTAAGCTTTTACCTCTTTTCTTTAATTAAAAGGACAAATTTTGCATGACCCATCATTGATGCAGCTTGTGCCAGAAAAGGATGCTGCAGACCGCCAACTGGTAGAAAAAAACTCAAACAGTTTTGGACTGTATCAAAAGATTAGAGGAGAAATGAATATTTATTTTCATTTAAAATAAAATATTGAAGGTATGCATATATTTGTAATTTTTAACAATTCTCTAACCAATTTCAATTAGCTGGTTCTTTTCAATAAGCATTTCATAAGAGGGTATCAACTGTAATTGATAACATTCTCTTTCAACAATAAAAAGGTCAAAAGAAAAAGAGTCATTCATGCAAATCAAAATTACTATACCTTTTCCTTTGAATCCATGGAGAAAAGATCAAAAGAAAGAGAAAAGCGAGAAATCAGTTCAAAAGTTCAGAGAAAAGACAGGTAAAATTTCAAGAGTGTAAGTGGTAAACTTTAGTTATCTGTGAGAATGATACTAAATGTGACTAAATGATATGTCTAGCATTTATATTTAGCTATTGGTTATGGAAATAGAAAAAATTCATAATATCCAAATTTTAGCATAGTAAATCCAAGTCCATTAAATTTGATAAAAACAATTTCAAAAAGATAATCCACTAAGGTACGCTAACAACTCAAAAAATGAAAAACTAAAGGGCGTTAGGATAGGGATAGATTTCTGCTCCTACTGCTGCTGAGTCGCTTCAGTCGTGTCCAACTCTGTGCAACCCCATAGACGGCAGCCCACCAGGCTCCCCTGTCCCTGGGATTCTCCAGGCAAGAACACTGGAGTGGGCTGCCATTTCCTTCTCCAATGCATGAAAGTGAAAAGTGAAAGTGAAGTCGTTCAGTCGTGTCCGACTCTTCGCGACCCCATGGACTGCTGCAGCCCACCAGGCTCCTCTGCCCATGGGATTTTTTCCAGGCAAGAGTACTGGAGTCGGTTGACATTGCCTTCTCTGTATAATTAGGTAAGAACCAAGATATATAACAAATACCACATACCTTTACTTCCGTAAGAATAGGAATTTTACATCATGCTTAAGAAGCTTATAATGATTACTATTCTAAATGACCCAGGCCTTCATTCCAAAGAGAATCTAATGGTACTGAAACAAGTTCTTCCTGCTGCACTTTTTCCTATGATCAACAAAGATGTTTACAAGATCAGATTCAACCCAGATCTCAAATCTAGACACTTCTTAGCATTATTACTCTGTCATTGTTCCTGACTTTCAAGCAAATTTTAATCCATTTGTTAAAACTCATTGTCCAGATATCTGATTCCTACAAAAATATTGAGCAAAATTTATTAACTGAATGATTAAAAATCCAAACCATAACTAGAATGTTATGATTCTTTCTCAAAATGCTCATTATGGCATACTTTCTTTTTCATGAGACTTTAATGAAAGATTACTGTTTCATCAAATCCACAAGAAAGTTGCTCGGGTCTATAAAAAGTAGAGAGCAGACCCAAGGAAATTAAGGAGACAGCAATGAAAGACAATGTACTCTTCTTCTCCCCTGTTAGCTTTTTATTTTAAAAGACTTCATTTTAATTTGTTGCAGTGAATTCTACATGGGTTTGATTATAAGCAGGCACATATTCTTAGAACCTTGGGGGGTAAGGAAGAGATATTAAAGCAGATAGAGTTGAGAGAGAGTACTGGTAAGTGGGAACAAAAATAAACATGTTCTGCTGATAGATAAACATATGCATTATATTCTATCTTCGTTCATCTTAGTTCTTGCATTCTTTCCTTTTTGTATCTTGGAATTTGCCTCCATTTCTCTCAGAACAGGTGAACAACTTGGAGGGGTGGAAACGTACTGATCTTAGGATTCAGTATACTTTGATTCTGAATTTGGCTCTGTACATGTCACTTAACCTCTCCAGTTCTCAAACACCTTATATGTAAATAAGGTGACTAACTAAAAGTCCTTTCAATATTCTTTCCCCAAATTCTATCAATCAAATACCAACCCTGCCCTCATAGGAGAACAAGCATTCTTATACCTGACAGGAGAGCAAGTTGGTAAAACTTTCTAGGAGGCAGTTAGGCAACATACATCAGAAGCATTTAAAATGTTCATGCCCTGGCATAAGCAAGTCTACTTTTAGGAATTTGTCTGAAAGAAGTAATCATGCGCACAAAAAATTACAGTTATAAAGATGGTCATCACTCTATTTTTTTGTTTAGGAACAACCTAAATGTGTTATAGTGGAAAATGATTGATTAAATGGTGAATCCATTTAACAGGATACATGTAGCCATGAAAAATGATGTTACACAGAAACAGACTCACACAGAAAACAAACTTATGGTCACTAAAGGAGAGGGATAAATTAATAGATACAAACTACTATACGTAAAAGAGATAATCAATACAATCCTGTATATCACAGGGAACTATATTCAGTATCCTGTAATTAACCACAAAGGAAAAGAATATGAGAAAGAATATATATGTGTGTGATACATGAACTGTATCACATTGATGTACACCAGAAACTAACCCAACACTGTACATCAACCATACTTAAATTTAAAACAAAAAAGCTAATAACACAGGAAAAAAGATATTACAGATGATTTTAATAATTACACAGAAAAAAGTTCATTATAATGAAAAAGCAGGTTACAAATTAACATGATCCAATTTGGGGGGTGCACATATGTATAAATATGTACAGAAAAAAGATTACAAGGTCATATAAAATTTTAGGAATTATTTCTGGATGGCAGATTTTGGTGTATCTTCAATCTTTTGCTCATCTAAATTTATTATGAACACATATTATGGAATAAGAGACATTATTAAAGAATCAATTCTAAAGTTCTCTCTAGAGAATTGTATTTTTTGTTTCCATTCTTCTCATCCCTAGACAGTAATTCATATCCATCACCTTTGAAAAGACTAGATGTTAAAATTATATGATGAATAGGCTTCTGATATAATAGAAAACTTGGAAGTCAAATTATTCAAAAACAAGGGAAAATGACTATTCACTCATGATAAAGATGCAAGGCCCACAAAGATCAAATTATGGTTCTGCTATTGAAGTGTTCCCAGGTATTCCATAAACAATATTCTGTAGCATCCTTACTAAAATACAGTGTCATCAGGAATTCCATTTGAGAGAGTTTCAAAAGCTTTAAAATCCGTGAGGACGCTAAAAATGACAGGAAAACATTTTCTAGTAGTATTTAAACAGAACAAAATGTTTCGCTCATAGTATTGAGGGCAAAAGCAAAGAAAGATGAAAATCAGGGTTATTTAGTCTCACGGAGGGAAAAAAAATGAAAATACTTAGGATTATCACGTACTATAAAAATAAAACTAACAAAGTTCTCGTCCCAACCCAAAAAATAAAGTGATTATGGGCTAAAAAACTTTCAGTTTAGAGGGATTTATAATGTAAATGAAAAAACCTTACTGTCAGTTAAGAGTTACTGAAAATTACTGAGAAAGCCTGGAAATCTTTCCCTGAAGATCTTTTCAAATACTTAATACTCAGATATGATTTAGAATAAAAAAATTACCATCACCACAAACCAGAGGCAGACAAAATGACAAACTTTGTCACTCTCAACTTTACGTTCTTTTTGTCTAGGTCTGCAGAGAGTCAAATGGTGTATGACATGATATGATAGCTTATACATTCATAAAGAAGAAAATAAACTTGCAATGAGCAACAAAATGAAGCTGAGTCAAGCAATTTTTAACTATAAAAATGCTGACTGCTACCCTTCAAGTTTTTCTGCCATTTTCAGAAAAATAAAGTTTACTATAAAAACTGTGATTAGGAGACATTATCTTTTAAAAAACTCAAATACTTAATATTTAAAATAAGCGGCTAGAAAATTTACCAAATATCAAGGCCAATCCATGAGATGTACCCACTGCTATCAAACTGGATACTGCCTGAAAACAAAAGAGAAGATTATATTCTAAAACATTACATCAAGGATCTTGAAATAATCAGAATTAAATTTGTTGGTCTTCTTTCCTCTAGACACCAGATAACATACCAACTACTATAAATAAAGAAAATATCATCTAGGAGGCAAAATACAAGATAAAACTCAGAACATCTTATTTCCTGGCATCCCTCTAAATTTACTCTAAGGGTAACAATACTAAAATATCATATGTTCAACATTATAGGCAAAAACATGCCACTTAACTTCCTCTAAGGCAATTTAAAATAAAAAAGTTCAAGGGTCCAGACAAAGTAAAGGCACTTATGCTACCCAACCAAGAGCCTCCTATGAGGTGTGGGAAAAGGACAGGAAAGACCTTCCCCAGCTCATTCACAAGAGCCAAAAGGCGCCAGAAATACTCAAAACTCAGCCCACTTCCCTCACCAACTGACTGACTAATGAGAGAGCTACAGGAGGCAGCTGGAAATAGTTGAAAATAGAAAAGAGGGCACTAGTGTGCTTTCATTATCCCCAAGTTCTCTATAATCACCCCCACAGATTTACTATTTGGCAAGCTTGGCAATGGAGTTCAGAGCTGTTAAATGTACTATTTACCACAAAGTGATTTTGCCGAACACTGTTTCCACTCCCTATAACCAAAAGGAGGTCAAGTCACAGAAGGAGCAAATGTACTTGGGTAGGATAGAACCACATAAAATAAATCTGGAAATGGGCTAATCAGTATTCCATTATATGCATCTCAAAAAACAAAACTGAAGAGTAACAATACACTAGAAAGAAAGAATATTCAACGCAAATAAATTTTAAATGATTACTGGCAGTAAATGACATATGAATTTATTCTCATAAAATGTATGTAATAACTGAGTATCAGAAGAATAAATCTAAGAAAACCTGGTAATAGAAAGCTTACCTTTAAAAGATTATTTAAAGTATACTTACAATTGCTGTAGGCAAGCCAGCATCTACTTTGTCCTAAATTTAAAAAAAAAAAAGTATTTGAAAAGATATTTCCACTTTTAAACAAAAAAAAAATGGTATAAGGCCCTCTCTTTACATATGTAATTCAGACAAGAGGTGGAATCATCACTTTTGCCCCCAACTACAGAATTTTAGCACTGATGTTACAGCTTAGGATAGTGATTCTCAAAAGTCAAGGAGCATTAGAATCACCTGGAAAATCTGTTAAAATGCAGATCCCTAGCTACACTGCTAGAACTAGATTCCAAGTCAGTAGGTCTGGGATAGTCCCCAGAAAACTGCTTTTTCTTAGGAAATTTTTATGCAATGGACACATTTTACAAAATCACCATCTTAAGAGATCTCCATTATCTTAGGTAATCATAAAATGATAAATACACTTTAAAGTTAATTTGAATCCATTTTAAATATAATCCCATGTCATATTACTTTGAGGAGGATTCCAAAATTAAACAACAAAGTTCACAACTCCAAAAGTTTCATCTCTCCTAAGTGTTCGCCAGGAACAGACTACAAGGCTATGATGGTCAACACCCTAGGAAGCCCTAATAACATCACTATCCACATGGCTGAAGGCATTACTAAACAGCCATTCAGAGGAGATACCCCAAAATATAACTAGCTTTACATGTTAATAAACCAACCATCACAGAAAAGCATACAATTTAAATTGAGCTGGTAATCCAAAATTAGAAAAACAAGGTATGAAGACTGTCACAACAAAAGCAGTTTTCATTTTAACATACCAAAGGAGCTCAACCATGGCAATGAAATAAGAACAGAATGCAAACACTCTGGGATTTATTAGAATTTTTCCCTCCTCTTCAAGAGAAAAGAGAAACCCTTTTAAATAACAGATTTATCTAATCATTGTTCAATGTCTGAGTTTTAGTTCAGTCTCCATTATTCAAAATATTTTTAAAACTGCACAGGTGGGTCAAATGACTGTTCTGGTTCATCTTGATTTTGAAAGGAATGAATTTCATCACCTACATAAGGATTAAATTCAGAAAACGTCATGGAAATGTAATCCTCAACAGGTGGTTCCCATTCTAGCAAATATGAGTTACTCTCCACCTAAAAGAGGAAGGACAATTGCCCAGGTTTCCTCCATTGCTTGCCTATCTCTCTATTTAAATTGACTTCATGATATATGAGCCGGGCCAGGGTATACCAAATGCCCACAGAGAACACTTCCTTTTTTGTTGTTTTTGGGGGTTTTTTGTTTGTTTGTTCTGGTTTTTTTGCGGGGGTGGGGGAGGTTCTGCAATAAGAGCTTTCACTGATAAACCTAAAAATTACAATGTGGCTACGGTGTCATGATTCACTTCTGTATCAATCTCTTACCCTCATAAAAAATAAAACTTTGTCCAAATTGAATATGCAAAACACTAATTAAACTCCATGAAAAGAACATAAAAACATATCAAAGTTCCTGGGATATGAATCACTATTATCAACATCATTATTATTACTATTATTTACAGAATCTATATGTTGAATTCAGAAAACCAAAACCTGAAGACTATGTGAAACTATAAGCCTTGAGGCCAAAGGAAAATTTGATAAACATACCAGAATCAGCATCTCTTGTCTTATTGGACTATTAAATATTTTTGCACTAATTCAGTGCTCCAAACCATTTTCAAAACAGACAAAGATACTCTGTTCCAGCCATTATACACTGGCCACTTCACCAATACCACCCCCGTTTTACAACAAAGGCAGCACTAGACTTGGAGCCAAAAACCCCCAATTTTGAGTAATTGCTCTGCTATCTTCTAACCCAATGATGTAAGACAAGTTAATATCACCTCTCTGAGTCTGTCTTCTCATTTGTAAAATAGGATATGGCTTTCCCTACTTTCAAAGTTGTAAGAGTATATGAAATAAGGTACATGAAAAGACTTTTGTGAATTATAAAAACATCACTCAGTTGTAAAAGATTCTGATCAATCATTCCTCCATATGAAAACACTAAAAAAAAAAAAAAAAAAAAAAAATCACTCCACCTCAACCAAATACACAAGATGGCAACTAAACTGAAAAGGAATTTAAAGAAAAGGCAGATAGTGTTTCTTTTAGGCTTGCTGCCATATTTCATTTAGGCACACCCGAGACTCCGGGCAGACCTTTACTTCATGGCTGCACTAATTTCTATGTCAAGATGTGTAGCTATGTCTTATGAGTCAAAAATAATCACACAAAACCCATGAAAGCCAGATTCTGTTTTTCTTAAGCCTCGGGCCAAGAGAAGTGCTGTGCTTTGTTTTATGCTCATTCCTGCTTCATTATGCCATTGCAGGTTATAAAGCTGGGGGAAGAGAACAAAATACTTACAGCTGCAGACACTATCTGGGCAGAAATTCCCTTCAAAAGTGAATGTCGCATAACTGATCCATGGAGTGAAAATGAATCAGGTAATTTCTTCTTTCTTTAAGGGAAAAAAAAAAAGGAAAACGTTTAAGAACAGAAAATAAAAACTGAAAAGGCAAGGTCTTTAAAGTTTTGAAAGAAGAAAAAGTAAATAAAAATAAGAAAAGCAGAAAGCAATACTGTATTAATTTGTTAGCTCTGTTTTCTGAAGAGGTATAAAATCTAACAGTCTCACCTTAAAATGTTATACTAAATTCACGCTGAACCTCAGAGAAGCACAGCAGGAAAATGAATAAAGCCACCATCTCTTCTTCACAGATTCAACCTATTCCTTGCTCACCTTAATAACTACAGCAAAAGGCGCTGCTACTCACCAGAAGGTCGCCTATAGAGAAGGTCTGCTTACAGGTCTGCATCACCTCAGCTGCTTCCACCTCTGCAACCATTCTTGCCCTATTGTTGTCTGTGACAACCCTCTCATTCTCCCAACCAACTGCCTCAAATTTCCTATTCATTACTCATTCTCTGATGCTCCTACTAACAGCTCCTTTCACTTACCCTACTCATCACTGTACAAAAAATACTTCTTTAAGCTTTTACCAAACACTGAACACCTACTCGATATGACTAAAAGTATGTTCTGGGGATACAAGGATCTCATATCCTAGCTAGAGGGACTAATGAGTAACTCACTCAAATTAAAGGATAAATGTTAGAAAAGAAAAATGAATAAAGCATGATAGAAACAAAGAGTTTAATTCTGTTTATTAAGGGGATATCAGGAACAACTATAGAAAAGAGAAGACATCTGATCTGGCCTTGATGGATAACTAGGAGTCTGTCAGACAAAAACAAAAGCACAAGCAAAAATATGAAGATGTAATGGTGTACAGTGTGTGGGGGGAGTGTGGGTACACAAAAGGCATGGGCCAGGAGGCAGAAGTGGGAGTGCTCAGCATTTATGTCAAAATAGTAAGCAGGCTTCAGACTGAGACCACACAAAGCAGTTCGGACATTACTATGTGGGCAAAAAGATGACACCACAGCTTTTAAGCAGGTTAATGACCAAATCATCAAAAATATTTAAGTTATTGTGATTCCATACAAATTTTAGGATTGCTTTTCTAGAAAAATGTCATTGAGATTCTGATAGGGACTGACCTAAATCTATACATAAGTAGGGGTAGTATGAACATTTTAATTAATCCATGAACATGGAAAAGCTTTCCATCTATTTGTCTTCTTTAATTTCATTTATCAATGTCTTTTACCTTTCAGTGTACAACTCTTTCACCTCCTTGTTCCTAAACTTCTTCCTAAGTACTGCATTGCTTTTGTTGCTGCTGTAAATGTGATTTTTACTATTTTTTATATACTTCATTGTTAGTTTATAGAAACACAACTGATCTCAATCAGCCAAAGTAATCTTAAGAAAAAAGAAAAAAGCTGCAGGCATCACACTTTCTGATTTCAAACTGTATTACAAGCTACAGTAACCAAAACAGTATGGTACTAACATTAAAAAAGACATAGATCAATGACCAGAATAGAGAGCACAGAAATAACCACTTGCATATATAGTCAACTAATATTTGACAAAGGAGCCAAGAACACTCAATAAGGAGAGAATATTCTCTTCAACAAATGATGCTAGGAAAACTGGGTAATCACATGCAGAAGGAGGAAATCATATCTCTGTCTTATACCACTCACAAAGATTAAATGGATTAAAGACTTAAACACAAGACTTCAAACCACAAAACTCCTAGGAAAAAGCAAACAGAAAAGACCCCTGACAGTGGTACTGGCACAGATTTTTTTCGTTATGTATGACACCAAAAGCACAAGCAACAAAAGTGAATATACATATGATATACATAAATATATATATATGTATATATATAAATAGGACTATATCAAACTAAAAAGCCTCTGCACAGCTAAAGAAGCAATTAAAACATAAAAGGCAACTATGGAACAGGGAAAAATATCTGCAAACCCTTAACCCCATAATAACCAATATATAAAAAGAACTCTTATAACTCGGGAGCAAAAAAACCAACGGGCAGAGGACCTAAATAGGTATTCTTCCAAGGAAGACACACAGATGGCCAACAGGTCCATGAAAAGGTGCTCGACATCACTAATTATCAGGGAAATGCAAATGAAAACCACAATGAGATACCACCTCATACCCATTAGTATGGCTATTATCAAAACAACAAAAGATAAGTGTTGGTGGGGATGCAAATAAAAAGAATCCCTGGACACTGTTGGTAGGGATGTAAATGGTGCAGCCACTATGGAAAATAGCATGAAGGTCCCTCAAAAAATTAAAAATAGAACTACCATGTGATCCAGCAATCCTACTTCTGGGTTGTACACCCAAAGGAAACAAAATCACTACCTTTTAAAAAGCAACTCATAGAAACAGAGACTAGAATAGTGATATCCAGGGGCTGGGGGAAATACAGAGATGCTAGTCAAAGGATATAAACTTACAGTTTTTAGATGAATAAGTTCTGGAGATCTAATGTACAGTGTGATGACTATCGCTAACAACACTGTTATATACTTGAAAGTTACTAAGAAGGTAGATCTTAGATTTTCTCACTCCAGAAAAAAATAATTATGTGAGGTGGTAAAGGTGTTAAGTAACCATTCTGTGCTGATTTAATCATTTCGTAATATACACATATCAAAGAATTATACTGTATACCTTAAATCTACACAGTACTGTATATCAATTATATCTCAATAAAGTAGAACAAAGTTCAGTTGTAGAAGAAACTGATGAACAAGTTAATATAACCAGTCATGGCCCCTATTTCACAAGAGTCAACAACCTAAAGAATACAGCCTTGATACAGGCAAAATTTAAGAAGTTGAAGAAAAATACACTGACAAGTTATCAACATTAAAGTTACACATGAATTCAATAAAGCATTTACATTATGCTTCCTCCACTTCTCTTTCCTTTTCATGTGCTCTCCAAGAATGTGGAAGGTGAAAGCAGCCAAAATGAAGCTATTTAGGGTTAGAAGTTCTTTTCCCAAATCTTTAATCATCTTTGCAACTCTCCTCTGAACCCATTCCAAGGGAATGAAGAAATGCTGGAGCTGTCCTTAGACAGTGGGAGGAAGGTGGTGGAGGAAGGAGTGGAGGGAACAGAAGGTTGGTGAGGCGATTCCCACCACCTTTCCCACACATCTCCACATTTCCACCATGGACACTGCACTAGGTCTGAAGAGTGCGCCCTCTAAAGGCTCTCCTGCTTCTGGGACTCCCAGGCTATATTCAGCCTCCTATCGAGGGCTTCCCAGGTGGGGCTAGTGGTAAAGCATCTGCCTGCCAATACAGGAGATGATCCCTGAGTTGGGAAAGATCCCTGGAGTAGGAAATGGCACAGCACTCCAGTATTCTTCCCTGAAAATTCCATGGACAGAGGAGCCTGGTGGGCTACAGTCCATGGGGCTGCAAAGAGTTGGACACAACTGAGTGACTGAGCACACACCCTGGAGGTGCAGAAGACTGACATGGTATCCACCTTATTCTCTCCTCTCAACAGTACCAAAATCTTCAGGGTCTAACAAGCATTTTATTTCCACTTAAGCGGCCTTCTACTTTCTATGCAGGGCTCCAGCAGACCATATTGTATGCAAGTGTGATTTAAACGAATACTTACCAGAGAGCCAGAAATAAACCCATATACCTACAGTCAATTAATCTTCGACAAAGAAGGCAAGAATATAAAATGGGGGAAAAAAAAGTCTCTTCAGTTTAGTGGTGCTGGAAAAGTTGAACAGATGTATATAAAGCAATGAAGGTAGAACACACCTTTTCATCATGCACAAAAATACACTCGAAATGGCTTAAAGACTTAAACATAAGCCATGACACCATAAAACTCCTAGAAGAGAACAAAGGCAGAACATTCTCTGGCATAGATCGTACCAATGTTTTCTTTGGTCAGTCTCCCAAGGCAAAAGAAATAAAAACAAAAATAAACAAATGGGACATAATAAAATGTACAAGCTTTTTGTACAGCAAAGGAAACCTTAAACAGAACGAAAAGACAACCTACAGAATGGGAGAAAACAATATTGGCAAACAATACACCCAGCAAGGGTTTAATTTCCAAAATATATAAACAGCTCATACAACTCAATAACAACAAGAAAAACCAATCGAAAAATGGACAGAAAACCTAAACAGACATTTCTCCAAAGACATACAGATAGCCAACAAACACGTGAAAAGATGCTCAACATCACTATTAGAGAAATGTAAACCAAACCACAATGAGATACCACCTCACACCAGTCAAAATGGCCATGTGTTGGAGAAGGTATAGAGAGAAGTGCTCCTACACTCTTACCGGGAATGTAAGTTGGTACAGCCACTGTGGAAAACAGTATGAAGGTTCCTCAGAAAACTAAAAATAGAATTACCATATGATACAGCAATCCCATTTTGGGGCATATAGCCAGATAAAACTATAATTCAAAAAGACACATGCACCCCTATATTCTTAGCAGCACTACTCACAAGACCCAAGACAGGGAAACAATCTAAATGTCCACTGACAGATGAATGGATAAAGATGTGGTACCTACATACATTGGAAGACTACTCAGTCATTAAAAAAAAAAAAAAAGAATTAAGTAATGCCATTTGCAGCAACATGGATGCAACCAGAGATTATCATGCCAAGTGAATTAAGTCAGAAGAAGAAAGACAAATACCAATATGATATCACCCTTATGTGGAATCTAAAATATGGCACAAATCAATCTATCTATGAAACAGAAAGAGACTCACAGACAAAGAAAACAGATTTGTGGTTGCCCAAGGGGGTGGAAAGGTGGGGGAGGGATGGACTGGGAATGTGCGGTTAGCAGAATTACATAAAGAATGAATAAACAAGGTCCTACTGTATAGCACAGGGAACTACATTCAATATCCTGAGATATTGGAAATATCCTGGGATAATGGAAAAGAATATGAAAAATGTATGTATATGTATAACTTAGTCACTCCTGCTACACAGCAGAAATCAACACAACTCTATTTCAACTATAACTTTTAAAAAAAAGAATACTTACCTTTTCAAGTTGGTCCTGTCACCACTATCTGAGCTTGCCACAGATGAAGTATCGTAAGAGTGAGAATCAATAGTATCAATGTTTAACAATGTAGGATCTTCAAGAACAAAAGATTCATCTTCATCATCAGTCTAAATTAGAAGAACATGGATACATAAATTCAAAAGTCCAAATACTCTGTAAGTCAAACAGGCATTAATGGGTTTCTGCTAAATAAACACATGCTTACTCTGTTTTTCACCCCTTTTCCGTGCACTGCCATTGACCAGAGAGGCACAGTACAGAATTAAATTTCAACTCTAGATATCTCTCCCTACTTTTTTCACTCCAAAAACTTATTTCTTGTAGCTGAAAGACATAGGAGCAGTTACGCAGATTATATTTTTAGTTGCCAAATATTTCTTCATATTCAAACCTGTCTAGGTGCTTTACTAGTTAACTAACAGCCAATGGCTGATTGAAGAAAATAAACACCACCTGACTATAAACAGTACACCTTAACAAACATGACAAACAGAAGAAAGGCATTCTGGGTTGGAAACAGCATGTACAAACACAGTGATTTCATAATATGGATTGTGCCAATGAAAAAGGAAGTAGTCTAAGATGAGCGGAGTATACAAGTAGGAGTTGGAGATGGTCCTAGAAACATAAGCTAGGACCCAACTTGTAAAAAGGTTTAGATTTCATTAAGCTAGGTGACAGGAAGTCCCACATTCACCACTGTATTCCTAGTGCCTAGTACAATGCCAAACACATAATCAGTACTCATTTACTTATAAATTAATGTACTGCATACAGCAGGCAGTTGGAAGGCAAGGAGATCTCTAAGAAATCGACACATGATGAGAATCATGTTTAAAAAGATAAATGGGGCAGAATGAAGATGAATGAGAGTAGAGGGGAAGACTGGGGCAGGGAGACTAATAAAAACCAGGAAGAAGGCTACTGCAACGTCAAGGAAAGACAGGAGAATTCAGTCTAGGAATGCAGCTGAAGGGGTCAAGAGAAGGAATAAGGAGACATTACTGAGGTAAAGTTAAAGATTCCTGCTTACCATTTAAACGGTGCTTTGTGGGGGGGTGGAGGGGGTTAAGTTTAAGAAAGTCAAAAAAGATTCCAAGGATTCTAGCTAGAGCAACTAGGCAAAAGGTAATACTACTAATTGAGATAAGAAAGAACAGCAGATAAAGCAAAATGAGTCTAGCTTCAAACAAGCTGATTCTAGGCAGCAAACATTAGAGGAAAAAGTTCTGATCATACCTTCGGTTTCAGCTGGACTACCTTCTCCCTTATTTCGATCCACGTTGTTAAGACAGCAGTCCACACTCCACTTTCTCGACCCATTACTGGCCACTGACTACTACTCTGAAGTTACCAGTCAAATCTGCCGGCCTGTTTTCCTTTAGCAAGCTACTGCCCCATATGCATCAAGTAATACCACTGGCCAAGCCTCACTTCTGGAAATTTTCTATTCCCTTAGTTTCCAATACATCTCTTATTTACTGCTCCTTCAACTTATGTGGCCTCTTCTATTAGTTATGTTCTCTACTTTCTTTTCAACCCAACCTTTGAGTGATTTTGTTCCCAGGATTATATTCTTGGCTCGGCTCTTCCTACTTCACAAACTTTCTGTATGAAAAAGCGAATCCACACCTATAGCTTCAAATACCATGTCATGCTAAGGACTCCAAAATCTGTATCTTTAGTACCAACATTTCTCTTGACGTTTAAGCCACATTTCCAACTGTTTTACAGATATCTCCACACACAAATGGAGTGCTAAGAACAGGATGAAGGTTTGCAAGGAGTTACTGTTACTTGAGAGCTGTGCAAGAATGGAACGACTGCCTTAGGGAAAGGGAACGGAAACAACTCATAAATGAAATGCAGAACCAAGGTCTTAAGCAACAGAGTCAGCTAGAATCTTATTTGATTTTCTTAAGCAGCCCAGGGATATAATTAAAGAAAATAGATTAGCTAAATTAAGCCAGGGTTGAGGGCTTACGGGATTAAGTGGGGGGAAAAAAATCAGGAAGATAATTAAGGCTATCAGTGAGGCTGAATTTAAAATTACTAGCTTCACGGTGTGTGCTGTGCTTAGTCGCTCAGTTGTGTCCGACTCTTTGAGACCCCTTGACTGCAGCCCCCCAGGATCCTCTGTCCATGGAGATTTTCCAGGCAAGAATACTGGAATGGGTTGCCATGCCCTCCTCCAGGGGATCTTCCCAATCTAGGAATCAAACCAGGGTATCCTGCATTGCAGGTGGATTCTTTACCAACTGAGCCACCATGGAAGCTACACGGTAGAGATATCAATTCTCACAAACTGATGTGTAGAATTTATACAATCCTATCAAATTTCACCTGGTGTGTGTGTGTAAACCAATAAGGTGATTCTAAAACTTTGCAGAAATGCAAAAGACTAAGAATAAGCAAGGCAATCTTAAAGAACAACAAAAAAGCTGCAAGATTTGAACCTACTAGATATCAAGACCTATTATAAAGGTTTAAACAGACTGTGATATTGGGGCAAGTACAGAAAGACCAATGAAATCACACCCACCATATACAATCACCTGATTTAAAACAAAAAGTGACACCACAGAAAATGGTGCTCAGTAAGTGCTGCTGCCTCATACCTCACACTATCACACACACAAATTTCACATGAACTGCAGATCTAATGTAAAAGGCAGAACATAAAGACTTTAAAATAAGACGGCATCAACATAACCTTGAAATTTGCAAAATTTTCTTCAATAGGATGCAGCAAAAAGCTAACAAAAATGGAAAAACTTAGTAAGCTGAACTACTGCTAAGACCTTCTGCTCATCGAAAGACACCATTAACTGAGGGAAAAAGTAACCCACAGAATGGAAGAAGATATTTGCAATACATACATCTAATAGAAAGTTTATATACATCACATATAAAGAACTCCTAAAAATACTTTAAAAATCAACTCAACAGAAAAAGGGCAAAAGACATGAAAAAGCAATTCACAAAAGAGATATCCAAAAGGCTACAACGTATGTCAAGGAACACAATTTCATCAATCTTCAGGGAAATTCAGATTAAAACTCTGATGTGATGCTACTACACACCTATTAGGTATGAATGGTTAACGTGAAAAAGAGAAAAATTAAAAAGTTGATGAAGATATGGGAACCATATCTTCATATATGATATGGCATATATATGTATTACCATATATATGCTATGGTAATATATATGGTAATATCATATATAACCATATAAGGTTATATATATATATATATAACCATATCCATATATTGCTGCAGAAAGCATACACTATCACAACCACTTTGAGAAACCTGTGGCAGTATCTACCAAAGCTGACCATGCCCATATCTGATGACACAGCGATTCTACTCTGAGGTACATACCCAGAAGAAATGTGTGTGTGTATGTGAAAACATGTGTATAGGTACCTAAAGACATGCATAAGAATATTTACAGCAGCACTTGTCAAAGTGGCCAGAAACTGGATATTATAAAACTGCCCATAAATATGAATAAATGAATAACAATGAAATAAAATGAAAAAAAATAAATGAAAAAAATAAAATAAAATAAATGAATAAAAAATGGTATGTATTTTACACAGCAATGGGAATGGATGAATAACTATATGCAGGAAAATATAAATGAATCTAAAAACACAATATTAGGGGAAATAAGTCAGACAAACAGAAGCATATATTGTATAATTCCATTTTTAGGAAGTTCAAAGCCAGCAAGCCAATCAATGCTGGTAGAAGTCAGGATAGTGATTATCTTGGGTTCGATACTAAAGGAGCACAAGAGGAGTTTCTGGGGTGCTAGCAATGCTTTATTTCTTCAGATGGACTCCAGTTACATGAAGAATTCTGTTTGTGAAAATTAACCAAGCTGTACACTTTTTCTTTATGTATGTGATATCTCCATTAAAAGTTCAAAAGAAATATCCGGCTGCATGAGCCAACAGCAGAACTGAAGTCAGGGCTACTCTCAAACACTGGGGACTAAACAGGATCAAGAGACTTGGCCCTCAGGAGGTCAAAGAGGAGGTTTAATGGAAGGGAGAGAATGTAAGAATGGGGGACGATTATTATTAGAGAATGGAATTTCAAGATTAGAAACCTCAGAAGTGTCTACGGCCATACCACCCTGAACGCGCCCGATCTCGTCTGATCTCGGAAGCTAAGCAGGGTCGGGCCTGGTTAGTACTTGGATGGGAGAAACCTCAGAAGTAGCACAGTTTCAAAGGATGACAAGGCCTAGTAACATTATTTCATGACCTAAGTTCTGAGATTTAGCATGTCTCAGTAATCTCTAACTTTCTGTAAAATAGATGTTCACTTCTTCCCAGCATCCCTTCAGGTTTATTTACGAATTTTAAAGGATATACATACCCACATATCCTGGAGCAAGTACTTATTTACACTTTCTACTTTTGTCCCTTTTCTTTCTTAAAATCACTCTTCAATACTTCTTCCCTTTTTAGTCTTCATAATGTCCTACAATTTATTTTTATTTTCACTTGTCCACCTGTTGAGCTCCCTGATGGTGTGACAGCCAGCCAATTTCCAGTCCTATTTTTCTCTCAAAATCAGAGACAATCACATAGCACTTCATAATCGCAGTACTTAACACTGACCCAAATGCACAAGGCACCCAGATTAGTGAGGAAGATAACAATGTCATCTTCTCGGTTAACCACTAGTGATTATTATACTTACTGATACCAGTAGGTATGTAAATTCTGCAAAGATAGCTTTCCTTCACTATAAACTACAGCCTCATTCATAAGAGCATTACTTTGACATTATTGTACAAAGATGTACAAACAGGGCTTTGTACTCATCTTCTAAAGACTACTTTTAGTTCTCACTTTGTAACTGAAATAATTATGTGATTAACATCATGTTATGAAAACTGACAAATTAATCTCTTCACCTCTAAATGAAAGATTTCCTCTCTATTAGAAAGCAATAAATAAATATGACTTTAACAGGATAGTCTCTCATTGACCAAAGCCTTCTTGGTCAAAATTATAAATGCTCAAGTCTTCTTAATACAGATCAAACATAACATTTAAAAATATATTCAAAGAAACAGCAATATCAAGCTGATATTTTAAAAGAATAAAAGATATAATTCATAGAGAAAGTAGTTTGCATCCTATATAGTACTGCCTATAAACCTAAAAGTATAGATAAAGAAGTAATAAAAGGGCCAGAGCCAAAAAAAAAAAAAAAAGCAAACCAGGGCCCAACCCCACCTATGGGGCTAGTGGGCATTTCTGTTGAGGAATCTTTGCATCATTATCTTTTACAAAACATAACTATGGATCTGAAATAGATTTTTATAAATCTTTCTCAAATTAGGAGCTAAAACTTCCAATGGGAGTCTTAAGCAAGTTGTTAAAAGATCAAGAAGACTGAGTTGAAGAATTGTCAGCAGATGCAGGGTACAAAAAAGCTAGCACACTTCATTAACATGTACTTCCAAAGAGCTCCTTTATAAAGCCTTTATGATCTGCTAATTCAGAAAGTAACATCATTTCAGAGCTCTGAGAAACTTTTTAATCAAAATGGTATTCACAAGATAAACATGGCGGCTTCATTTTCTTTATATAGAAAGGTGATGAAATGCATTACAAGGCTGCGGATGCTCTTTTGTATCTCCTGAGGACGAGCTATTTGAACATCGCTGGTAGAGATGACATTATCAAAACATAATACAAATCTCAAAAGTGTCATGAATTTAGCATTTCAACTCACTTAATAAAACATTTCTTTAGTAGGCCCAAGTATGGGGTATTGTCCTGGGCACAGAGATGAACAAGACATGGCTTCTGCCCCTGAAAAGCTCACAATCTAGAACTTTCTGCAATAATGGAAATACTCTTGGCATCTATGCTGTCCACTACAATAGCCACTAGCCACATGTGACAACTGAGCACTTGAAGTGTGCCTTGTACAACTGAGCAAATGGATTTTTAACTTTTCTTTAACTGTAATCAGTTTAAATTGCTACATGTGACTGTTGGCTCCGGTATTAGACAATGAAGATCTGGAAACATACACTATAACCCAGAAGTATTCAAATCAACATGATAAACAGCGATTGTTAATATATACCTACTTCATTCAGTATGCTTTCCAGTGTTGGAGGAGTATCAACCTGAGGAATATCGAACTCCTTATCATCAATCTAAATAGAGAAAAGAAATTAATGCTCACATAATAATGCTTTCTCTCTTATAATTGGGAGGGTGTTTTGATTGATTAGAACCATTATCAATTAGAAGACTAACAGACCACCAAACTCTTCTCACGGAAAGCCAACTCAATAATTCATGCTATTAAGGGTCAGGTCAAAAAACTACAGAACTGTTTCCCTCTCTATCCACATATTCAGAGTTTATCAAGAACAAATATGCACTGATGGCAACATCCTAACAATCCTTTCCAGAAAGCTTCTGTTGAAGGGCTTTGGCATCTGCTTTCTTAAACAAAACAGCATTTCTTACGACAACCCTAAACTTCTAAGTCATAACAGATATACAAAGGTCTGACACTGAATTTCCTAATTATTTCATAAATTATGGTGGTTGGGTCAAACAACTTGCTATTAAATATTCATATTGTCACAAAAACCTACTGATATCAGATCAATGAGGGAAAAAAAATCACTGCACAAGAATTCTAAGTCTACCACTAGCACTATGATAGATATTGAACATAGCTGCACTTGAGCTTCTTCCCCTGTGAAAATGGACTATCAGAGCATTGTGAAGCTCAAATGAGAAGATGTATTAGAGTGTTTTATAAACTATAATCAGCTATAGAAATGAAGAGTAGTATTATTTCATAAAACTGTATATAGATGCCTATTAATCTATGCAAAAATGATGAATTTAGTCTTTGGATTATAAAGTGCACTCTAAACAACATTTGGGTTAAACATCACCACTTGACAAAAGCTGAATTTTTACCAGATCATTTCTGAACTCCAGTTCCTTGTCCAGATCTATGTAAGAGAATTTTGAAAGTGAAGCTTCTAGACTGAGAGACTTGTTCAGTTCCTCATCAGTAGTCTTGGCACAGAGGCTTTGTTCCACATTTTCATGGTCTGGTTCATTTTCCATGTTTACTTTTAATAACTGTATTCAGTCAATCCAAGCAAGTTTTTGTTTTGTTTTTTAGCCTCAGATCATGATGAACTGAATGATGATCTCCTTTCAAAAAAGAAAAAATATATTATTTAGATTTCCTCAAATGGACGTACCAAAGACTTACTGGGTCAGACTTTTGTGGAAACTGATTTCACTCAATCATCTGATTATAGACAAAGAGAAATCAATCCTAGGGTACGAGCTATGATATGGGGGGAGGGTTTTTATGGGAGCACAAAGGAGGAATATCTGACTTAGGAGCCTGGGAAGTGGCCCACCACTCAAAGTCTTAAATCCGGTGACAGTGATGACACAGGACAAGCTCAACCACTAGACCTGGTACCAACCAGATTTATGTACCTAAGAACAAGAGGGTAACTGGTGCCGAAATCTGCAGTTAACCCCTTCTTCACATTCCCAAACCTGAGCAGATCTCCAATTCTCTGTGAAGATAAGCATCAGCATCCAGACAGGGCCATAGACCTCTAAGGGAAACAGTGTAGACACAGAGGGCCCAGAATGGATAGCAAGTCACTTAATAGGACACTAGCAAATCTAAAGGTTCAGATCTATTAGAGGAGACAATGACGCCAGTGTAAAATAATTCCACAGCTGACTAGAGATTTCTAGAAAGAAGGCTAGTTAAGGGAAAGCAGAGGCAGTAAAGAAAAAGAAAAGTATGAAAAATTTGTTTTTTCATAGCTCTAAATGATACAATATCATATCAAAAAGAAACATAATGTGGTTTACTTTAAAAAAAAACTGTCTAGAAAACAACTGTCTGCAAAATTTCTGAAAAACTAAAAATACGCAGGAAAAAAATATATACAGTTTAACCATTAAATTTGCCCTTACATGTTTTTAGTTTGTGTTATAATTAGGATACAAGTGACCAAACTTTAAAACGTTTATCACTTAGCTCTGCCTGTAAACAATAAAAAAACAAAAATATGAAAATAGAAACAATGCCACATTAATGATAATAATAAAAGCAAAGGTAATTTTGTTTTCTAGACTAGGTGTTTTCCATGGTACCCCATGAGCACTTCTCAGTAGGAAAATTTCTCAAATGATATACTACCCGCAGACAGCAGAAGGAAATGGCAACCCACTCCAGTATTCTTGCCTAGGAAATCCCATGTTCAGGGGAGCCGGGCGGGCTACAGTCTGTGGGGTCACAGAGTCAAAGACATGACTGCACAACTAAGTGCTCATGTACCACCAAACTTCCCCACCAGACAAACTTCTCTTACTCTCTATTCCTTACTGAAGTGAAGGCAGAAAAAGAAGCTGACAACCACTGAGCCATTGAAAGAATTAATTTTCCTAAAAGGAGTTGAGAATTAGTTGTTGTTACTGTTCTTTTAAAAATAACATGCCAAAAACTCACTGACAGTTTTTCTAATTAGGCTCATTTTTCGGAGAAGGCAATGGCACCCCACTCCAGTACTCTTGCCTGGAAAATCCCACAGACGAACAAGCCTGGTAGCCTGCAGTCCATGGGGTCGCTAAGAGTCGGAGACGACTGAGGGACTTCCCTTTCACATTTCACTTTCATGCAGTGGAGAAGGAAATGGCAACCCACTCCAGTGTTCTTGCCTGGAGAACCCCAGGGACGGGGGAGCCTGGTGGGCTGCCGTCTATGGGGTCTCGCAGAGTCAGACACAACTGAAGCGACTTAGCAGCAGCAGCAGGCTCATTTTTAAGTGCTTAATGTGAATTCCACTTCCTTCAGTATTTCTTTTTATAATTTTTTACAATGAATATCTACTATGCATAAGACGTAGACTCATGAAGACTGATTTTCAAGAGCTGAAACCAATTTGTGTAGCTAGTACATTTGTATATTACCAAACAGATTAATTCTTTTCACGTGTCACAGCAGACAGACTCTGAGGCTCTGGCCTACAAACACATGCTATCGACCACATTCCTAGAAGACATAACTGAGGGTACTCTGTGTCTGGCAACATTTGAAAGCATCTTTCCAATCTCGGGTACTAAATGTACTTCTTTTGCAATAAGCCAAAGGCAGGAGCAGTATTAGTCTTTATGAGTCTTTCTTCAAAGAAGACTGAATTGGCTCATGACAAATTACTTCTCAATAAAGTTCCCTCTTATTTGTACCATTTAGCAAAAATGATTTCAATTAGTCTAGGAATGCTTACAAATATGCACAAATATTCACAATCAGTGTTTCCTGAAGACGGTTAAGTTTTATTCTTATATATTTTTAAAAATAGTGGAAAAAACCACATAACAAAAACAGAAACTTTAAATGACTCTATAACCTAAAACGTTTCATTCTTCACATTTGTGTCCCCAAAATAACTCCAAAAGGAAAACAATTTTTTCCTGGCTCTTTTTATATCTTCTATCTGGAGTTAGTAAGAAGTTCTCAAAACAGCTCAGCATCTGTGAACTCCAATACCATGCTGAAGAAGTTTCAAAAAATCAAGCATTCTGTGAAAAAAGAATGTCACCCTGCCATGCCACCCTACTTCATTTCCAACCTTCACTTCACCGAGCTCCTGTTGGTGTAATGTGGTGGCAAACTGGAAAGAATATAGACCACAGAGTCAATTAAAATCATTACCTGAATCTGGACTTTACCAGTTCCTATCTATGACCTTGGTCAATCAATCTACCCTTTCTGAGCTCCTCTATTTCTATTATCTGTAAGATGAAATATTGTGGCCATTTGTGCTGTTTGCCCAGAGCATCACCTCTTGTTCTGCAGAAAGCTCTTTCAAACTATGTGCTTCCTGTGAAGGCTGTCAATAAAAAAGCCCCTATTAACAAAGACTGCACAATACAGCCAGGGTCCTTCACCAAGATGCACCAAAATGGAACTGTTCGTTAAACAATGAATAATAAGGCTAAGCAATATTCCCCACCTCTACCCCGTCCCATTCTGCAGAAAAGGAGGTCACTTATTCAACCCATATCAAGACCTACTATGCATCTGTCACTGTCTCTACCAACAAAATTTACACTCTCGGTACAAATTCTTGAGCAAGAATGAAAGCAACCTATAACCAGAACCAAAAAAGAAGAGAAAAGAGTGTCCTGATATCATGCAGGCCCCAGGCTCCAATCTTTTATGTATGATGTTAGCTCCAGACATAGCCTTCCAGCATTTAGGCTACATAAGCCAACATAGTCCCCCAATTTTTCTCTTTTTTTTGGGGGGGGGGGCGGGAGGGAAGAGTCACAATTAAGACTCCCAACTCTCAGGAATACAATTACCTATTTTGCAGAGTTACTGTGAAGAACAAATGATATAATGACTATAAAGCATTTAGAATAATGTCTGAACACAGAACAAGTATTTAAGAAATTTAAAACCTCAAGATTTCCAAATTCTTTTAAAGACCCTGAAACAAGATCTGGTACTTTTATAAAAGTCTAGCCATTGCTAAGTATATCTAAAGGCTACCTTACCAAAAGGCTATACTTCTTATAATAACAATAATAGCAAAGTTTCCTCATGAACTCAATCGACTTCTCTGGTGATTCGGACAGGATAGAATTCACCTGTAATGCAAGAGACCTGGGTTCAATCCTTGGATGGGGAAGATCCCCTGAAGCAGGAAATGGCTACCCACTCCAGTATTCTTGCCTGGAGAATTCCATGGACAGAAGAACCTAGTGGGCTATAGTCCATGGAGTCGCAAAAGAGTTGGATGCAACTAAGCAACTAAACACCAACAGCAAAACATAAACTGAATGGTAGAGGTTAGCATCTTGAGTTGGGGAGACTACCCTGGACTATCTAGATGGGCCCAATGTAACCAAAGAGTCTTTAAAAGTGTGAGGAAGGGGCAGAAGATAGTGTCAGAGAAAGAGATGTGACAACAAAAGCAGGGTCAGAGAAGGGCTATGCTGCAGGCCTTGAAGATGGAGGGAGGGTGCCAGGAGCCAAAGAATTTAGGCAGTCTCTTGAAACTGCAAGAGACAAGGAGATGGACTCTTTTCTAGAAGGACCCTGGCCCTGTCACAGTTTGGTTTTGGCCCAGTAAGACCAATGCTGGACTGGTGCGCTATAGCACTGTAAAATAATAAATCTGTGGTTTTTTTAAGCCATGAAATTTGTGGTAATTTGTTACAGCAGAAATAGAAAATGAACACATTAGCAAACTTCAATTAATTTCTTTCTGGCCATATCACCGGCATTCTGAAATACCTACCCCTCCCTTGTCACTTGGTATTGCCCAAATATTTATTGAGCAAACTCTTCCAAATGCACACTACTGATGAAATGCTTAATACATGGTACTTGATATTACACCTAGACAGCATATTAAAAAGTAGAGACATTACTTTGTCAACAAAGGTCCGTCTAGTCAAGGCTATGGTTTTTCCAGTGGTCATGTATGGATGTGAGAGTTGGACGGTGAAGAAAGCTGAGCGCCGAAGAATTGACGTTTTCGAACTGTGGTGTTGGAGAAGACTCTTGAGAGTCCCTTGGACTGCAAGGAGATCCAACCAGTCCATCCTCGGGGAGATCAGTCCTGGGTGTTCATTGGAAGGACTGATGTTGAAACTGAAACTCCAATACTTTGGCCACCTGATGCGAAGAGCTGACTCATTTGTAAAGACCCTGATGCTGGGAAAGATTGAGGGCAGGAGAAGGGGACGACAGAGGATGAGGTGGTTGGATGGCATCACTGACTCAATGGATATGAGTCTGGGTAAACTCTGGGAGTTGGTGACGGACAGGGAGGCCTGGCGTGTTGAGGTTCATGGGGTCACAAAGAGTCAGACATGACTGAGCAACTGAACTGACTGACTGATACTACACACTCGATGCAGAACAAAGAAATGAACTACTAGTAATTTCCTCTTGAGATACATTCTATAACTAGTTTTCACTCAACCATCCCGTAATCTAGGCTTTTTATAGTTTTCAAGGGGATGCCATGCCAGAGTGTACCTTCAGACTACACAACAGGTTACATGAATCAGATTAATCTAACAGAGAATGT